GTGTATGTATGTATCTTTCACAGCTTTTACACTCTCTGTAACACAGATGGCAATTCTTATCCCAAAGGAACCATGGTATCCTTAAAGCTTCTTAGGGGACCTCTACGCTACCGCAAATTCCTATTTGTTTTATACCAGTTTAGCTGTCAAAGCTCTCGAACTCCAGGAATCATGGGAATTGCAGTCTAACAAGAATACAAACTTCTGTTAGAGAGCCCTAGCATTCCTAACAGAACTACAGTTCCCAGGGTTTCTGGGACAGGTGGGGAATAGCATTACTATTTTTAACAGCTTAAGGCTGTGCTGGAGAAATGTCCTCATTACTCAAGGACAGCAACCCTTCAACTCTCCATAAACACTGACCTGTTACGGGTTCAAGGGGTGAATCAGGGGTTGAAGGAATTGAAATGAGATTTGACAACCTGTGACAAAATCAGAGACTCTTTGACTCCCATGTCGTCCTGGGCTAACAGGTCATGTAAACTAAGATAGGGTTGTGATAGCTGCTAGGTGGAGTTCAGTGTGCCTCAGAGCAAATTTAGCAATCTTTGAATGAACTGAGACAGTAAGCAAGAGTGAGCAGAGACTCCCTGGAATTCTTTGCTTGTGTAGACAAAGAATATTATTTCAGAGTAACAAACTCGGGATAACATAACCTTGTATGAACAAGCCCTAAAATGGTTCATATAGGCTGAGTAAGGCAGCAATCATATGAGAAGCATAGAAACATTTCTCAGATGGAAAAAAAGACTCTGCCTTGCCCAACTTTTTATTATTGTCTGCAAGTGTTCTGTGCAACCTGAAAGCTTGCCATCTAGAAAGTCTTATAGTTTACCATACTGACTAATTATTTCCTTGCAAACGCTCTTCAAAAGAGGGGACACTTGCCCAATGGGCAGGCCTTAATCTTGTTTGTAAGTCAGTCTCTGATAAGGCAGGTCTGCCCTGTATTCTCATGTGGTGGCAGGGAGGGAGAGCTGAGGGTAGCTTGCTGTGGCTAGTGTAAGAGACACTCTGCACATCCTCTGAGGCACTCTTTTCTTTGTTATTAAGAACTAATAACAGAGTGCCTTGGACGATGTGCAGAGTGTCTCTTACACATGATTGTGCCCGGAGGCATATAAAAACAGGTTCTAACACTAAGCCGTGATTTTGGAACAGCACACCAGGTACTATCCTGACACCTTTATTATAGAACATTCTGTTGCTTATAATGGTGGGTCTAGTTTGCAGAGAGAGTATTACGGGCCTGTTCTTCCCCTAGGTATTGCCAAAATCAAGCAGGAGGCCTTGTTCTCTTGCAGCAATGCAAGGCTGGTGGTATTCATAAGCCTGCATAAAAGATAGCTGATTCATTTTGGCACCTTGCCAAGCTGGGCCTATAGCAGTACCCAAATGACTAATCTTTTTTTATAAAAAAAAAAACCACACACACACCATGAAGTCTTTTGGGCCTACTCAGTATTAGGGAGGCAGACAGTCCTGTCTTGCTTGTTTGTGCATACTATGGGGAGGGAGAGGTACATGATAATAGAGTGCAACTGTACCTAACGGGTGGTGTGTGTGTGTGTTGGGTGCCCATTTAGTCTTATTCAGAAACAAACAAGATGGCTGCTTCTTAGGGGAAGGCACCCTAAGGAAAAACGGGGCAGCTTTTCAAGGTTCCCCTGGGTCCCAGGAATAGGGATGGCGGCTGCCAGGCCTCAAGCCAACTCCCGCCAACTTTGAGGCCACGATGGAGTATGGGGGGGAGGAGAGGGGGAAATATATCCATGGGAGCAGGCCAGTCCCCTCACTCACACCACAGCCCCGCTTTGGCGTGTGAGAAGAGACAAGAGAGTGACTGTCCCAGCAAGACACAGAGCTGACCCCCCCCTTCCCGCCCCACACACCCTGAACAAAGGGAGCAGCTGCCTGAGCAAATGCTCCAGTGCACATTCCAGTGGGGGGGGGGTTAGGATGAGTAAAGGGGGCTGTTCCAGTGATTAAGGGCTACCGAGTCATCACCCTTTAGACACCCCTCTCCCCACTTAAGTTTCAAGCTTCTGAGAGTCATAACTTAATAATCTTGGGTCATTACATCGGAGGACAGCCCCCCCCCCCCGCGTGGGCATTCCATTTAGTGCCACTGAAAGGGTACAGAAATGTGGGATTGTGGGGCAGCTCGGAACAACCCTTACAAAGTATGTGGGGCGGGGAGGGGGGTTGAGGGAGAGGGGGATGCCCTAGAGATGGAGTGAGCATGGCCCTCTGGCCCTCCTCGCTGCAGCACCAGCCGCGATACACTCCCGCCCCACCGCACCCCACCCCGCCACCCCTCATGGCTCCGAGCCACCTGCTATAGGAACCCCCCTCCCTTCCTCCCGCAGAAGCGACTTCACCCCAAATGGCCCCAACGGGCCCACCCCCACCCCCCGCGCCACATTTCCCCCTACTCCGATTTCTGAAGCAGAGCCCCCCTTCTAAGTTGCAATCACAGTCACGTGGCTGGGGAGTTGCGGGGGGGGGGGAGAGAGAGACGACGAGGAATAGTGGGGCTGGGGTGGGGAGAGAAGGATCTATTAGAGAAAGACATGGAGGAAATCGACCGGGTCATTCGGGGATAACGAAGCCTGAGGCCGAGGCCGGGCGGTTTCCGTGCGCCGCCCAGGCGATGCGCAACCCCACAGCTTGGCCCGGTTGCAGCCCCGCGGCCGGGTGACTTGCCCCCCACCCCACCCCGCGACGAAGATCGGAGCCCGGGCCTCGCTTCCCCTGCTGCCATGCACCTGCTCTGGGAGCCCCGGGGGTGGGGGAGAGAGAGGAGAGCCGAGTGGTCGGGCGGGTTTTCTGGGGAGGGGGGCGCACGGTGGGCGGGCGGACGGCGCAGCGCAGCTACTCACCAAGGCGCACGGCGAGGCGGCGCGGAGGAGGAGGGGGGCGCTCCGGGGACCCGCCGCGTCGTCGGGGCTGGGCCGGGGCGAGCAGCCTCCCCGCCAGTGGGGCTCCCCCCTCTCCTCTTCTCTCCTCTTCGCCTTCCCTCACTCTCTCACTCTCTCTCCCTTCCTTCCTCCCTCCCTCTCTCTCGCTCCCTTCCTCCCTCCCTTCCATTGTACGGAGCCGCAGGCAGCGGCGGCGATTTGCATTTCTGAGCCTTGCGCGGCGAGGGATTGCCCGGCTCCATTGTGCGCTCTCGCTCGGCCGGGCGCGGAGGGGGTAGCCCTTCCCCGAGGGAGGGGGGCACTCTATGGGGAGAGAGAGGAATATGGGGAAAGAGGCACGCTGGGGCTAGAGTTGCCACTGCTGCCTCTCTGCGCTCCGCTAGGCCGTGGATTGCAAAACGGAACGAAAATCGCCACGGGAGTGGAAGCAAGCGCTGCCCCGGCACGGCGAAGGGCAATCTGGATCTTCCTTGCCATGGTGGCAGGGAATAAGTAGGAAGAAGAGGCACTGTCTCAACGCGCGGGGGGGGGGGGACAGCGGGAAGGGAACAGTGTGGGATTAAACCTACCCCATTAAGCCCCTAGGAAGATTGCGCCACGAGGATGGGTGGCACTGCCCTGGCACAACCCAAGTTGCCTGTGCATCCTAGTGGCCTGCGGAGGGACACAGCCTGCTCTGTGGGCGATGTTTGGGGGTGGGGGCCGGTCAGTGATAGTCAAGAATTTGCTGCCTGTGGCAGAGCCAAGCACACAGGGGCCGTAATGGAAGTAGATTAAGAGCCACTGTGTTGTGGTGGCAGGATGCTGCTCTGCTGAGCCAGGGAGGGGGGAGAGCAGGGCACCATCTTGGCACAGACAAGTATTGTCTGCTCTGCTGTACACTGGTGGGTGGGCGGGAAGCCTGACGCAGTCTGCTCTTTTTGGTTGATGGAGTGTCATTGGCAGGGGTGGGTGGGGAGTAGCACACTGGCCTGGCACTAGCTAGACACAGCCTAGCTTTGTTCTGTGATGCCATGATAGAAAGGGGATGCTGGGTTGGCATGGCCAGCTTGGCAGAGCCTGTCCCTATCTATACAGCAGTGCCATGGCAGAGGAGGGTACTGTCTAGATTAGAAGCTTTTACGGATTTACAGCTAGCTGTTAAGAGTTGAGATCCTGGCACTGTGAACCATTTTGTGGCGAGGGCATGTGCCCAGTGGCATCGCCTGCTTTGTTGGATTGTGGTGATGCCAAGAGACAGGGAAGGGCAAAATGCTAGCCTCTCTCCACCACCAAACCATAGAGGGAAAAGCAAGGTCTATGGGCACTGACAAGGAGAGGAAGAGCCGGGCTCTGTCAGGCTGCGTTTGCAGATAGGCACGCCTGGAATATTGGTCTCAGGCATGAGGCCTGCTAGATGGGCCTCTCACTGTTTAGCCACTCAGGTCAGTTCAGGGAAAGCGGGTAGGAACAGGAACATTCTGGTTGCCTAGCAACTACAGGTCAGGTTTTTATCCACCTCCTGTGTAGGCCTCAGAGAGAGTGGGAACAGGAGCACACAAGCCAAATACTTATAAGGACAGGAAAGCAGTTGGGGGAGGGGGCTGTTTCAGCCTGGCATTGTTTCCCTCCCCTTATCAGGGTATGGGTGGGGGGAGGCTCCAGCTAGGGCAGGCTAAAGGGTAAATGGCAGTATGGTGAAAAGGACGCTTGTGGGGAGGGAGCATGGGGATGAATGAAGGACCTCACTAAGCACACACTGGTGTAAATACACAAACAAGCTAACCTTCCTTCCTCAGTTCTATTAACTTCAGTGAGCTATATGCCCGCATGCGTATATCTGCAACCTTAAGCAAGTAGTCATTGCTTTTAAAGGAGTTGGTTGAAGAAAGCCTTTTCTCCGGAATAACCTCCAAATCAAGGAAAAAATAGAGAATAGTGGGAGTAAGATATTGAACCAATATTAAGCCCCTCAAGGGCAAGTGAAATCGGCCTAGAGATAAATATGTTCTGCCTTAAGCTGACAGAAAACCCAAGTTAAAAGTAGTGGGAAAGCAATTAATAGGGTAGCCCCTGCAACGGAAGAACAGAAATGACTAATACAGTTCAGCATGCTTTTTATATAAAATAAGGTCTTGTTAGACAAACCTGACTGATTATTTTGACAAGATTACATGTTTGGCAAAGGTAACCATTAATTTACAGAGACCCAAGGGGTTTGCTTAGTACCTTACATGGCTTAGGTTCATGGGCAGCAGTAGCTAAAAATCACTCTTCAAATGGGTTAAAAATTAGTTTGTTCCCATCATATTTTAATTTTCCTATGAACACCTGTGCAGCTTGCACAATTTTTACTTCTTTGAACCAGCATAGCTAGAACACCATATCTTCCCAGCCAGCAGAGCAGCCATTTGGATAACCCTTTCAATGGGAACACTTGCAGTACCCGTACTTTCTACTTTCCTTGGGCTTCTACCTTCCCCAGGACCAACCTCAACTCCAACTTACTGTTGCCCCTTCCTCACCTTTTCCATTTCATAACACTAAAAACAATGTTGGTAATTTGAGGCCAGCACAGGTAAAGACTTGCAGGTGCTGCAAAACTCAGGGCTGGAGCTTTGGTTTTTGAACCCACACGGAAAATGCTTCTAACTGTGAAAACAGTCCCCTACCATGATACCTTGAATTTTGAACCCACATCAGTTTACAGTAGCTAGACTTCACATACAGCAGGTGTGCTAAACTTATGTATGGATTGTACTGCTTCAGACTGGTGCAGGCAGGTGCTCATGTAACTAAATATTCATCCAAATACAATTCCCTGTGCTTTGAGAACTAGTTTCTGAGAATGCCTACCCTTCTTCCTGTCATGTCAAGTTTTCTGTGTGCAGGGAATGTTATCGTGGAATAGCAGTCATGTAATCCAGACGCTACATATGATGATGGCAGTGCCGTGTACAAACATGAAGCTGCCCAGTAATGTGAGAAGCACGATTTCAACAGCAAAAGGAGTGAATGGGGTAGGACTACCAAGCGTTCAGGCAGATAAACCACAGTCAGGGGAGGGTTCTGCACTTCTTACCCATTGACCACTTTTGCGGTTAAACTCAACATGTACACCTTTTCAAACATAACAAGAGCAGTTCCGTGTTAAAACACATGGACCATTCATCATGTCTAGTTGGTCAAATGGTACACCCCAGACACAGATTTACTACCGTACATACTCTTTTTCAAGAACTAAGTCTCATTTGTGCCTGCTTTGCATATTTGAAGCTGCTTTTCTGCATTATATTTTACTTCAGTGGTTAGGTCAAAGCACAAGCTAGCACCAGCCTCATCAAAAAGTGGTTGTAAATAGAGACATTCATTCCAATCCAACTGGAGGGAGAGGGTTGTAGAGCCACAGCTCTATAGTGGCAAGTTGGACAAAGGCATATATATCAGTGCTCTTGACATACATGGGGCTGATGAGGATTGGTAGGCCAGTATTTGAAAAGGTTGGGAGAAGAGGTTGTAGTTAGCAGCCACTTTCAGTGTTCTGTGTGAAAGAATTCCTATGTTTCCTTACAAATCTCAAGAACTGCCTGGCCTGTGCACCATTCTGACATTACAAACATATCTTCCATTATTACTGCTTATCTTTTGCAATTTTTTTCTGGTTCCCTATTAATGTTTGTTTTTGAAGCAGTATAGTCCACACACAGTTAGTTGGATTGAGGCCACCTTAGTATCATAATTATTATTTATTAAATTTCTATACTGCCCTTCATCTGAAGCTCACAGGGTGGTTTGGTACAGGGTGGTTTGTTGAAATCAATGCGAAAAGTTGGTTACGACTCCTGCTGATTTCAGTGGGAACTAAGTGCCACTAACGTAGTCTCTATACACCCAAGTGAGTTTTCTAACTCTTTTTCGTGTGGGCAGGAGGAGTGCGTGTGATTTCTATATGAAATGCCCCAGGTTTAAATCCAGCACAAGACCTGCCAAAGAGAACAAGTTAGCTGAGCAACTCAAGTTATCAAAATCAGACCAAAGGTAGGCCATCTGTATCCAATAGAAGAGTCTGAATGAACAAAAACACCACATATTCAGCCACCTAACACAAAGTATAGCACCAATTGTTAGAGATCAGTTCCTACAGTTCAGATTCCAAAATGTCACAGACATTGCAGAAGGGTGTTTGCAGACCTCCAACAAGTAATCTAAAAGAGGCAGAACACTTTCACAGCCCCTGTGTTTTTTTCACTTGACTTTTTCCTCGTACAGTAAGCCTGCAACTTAACCACATTTAACTTGTGCGCATTCAGCTTCACGCGCTTGGTAATAATTTTTTTTAAAAAAAAATTAAAGGGAGGCGGAAAGAGGGTAGGCATCTAGGAAAAAAGACTTTGGCAATTCCACCCACCATTGCACTCAAATGTGTTTTGACTATACGTGACTTTGGCTTTAAATGCAATCCCTGGAATGTAACCCCCACATAAGTTGTAGGCTTACTGTATTCATAACAATGTGGTAACATTACTGTGTGCAGAGACTTATCATCTCAAAAACAAACAAAAGCAATCAAGGGAGGGGAAAAACTTCCCCAGGTGCAGCAGAATCATGATACAGCCCTCCTTGGATTCTGTGTCCTCAGACTGCAAACGCATGAGTGTGGGGAAGTAAACTTGACCAAGTATTCTTACTTGTCAAAACTCTTTACATATTTTAAGGAAACAGCACACCAGGGAGATGACTTAAGTTAGAGCCCTTCTCCTCGGCATACTAGTTTTCTTTATGTGGGGGTATGCAAACACGCTACCCATCTGCAATCTAAAGTGGTACAGTCCTAGGAGAGCTGTATTATGTGAACCTCCATAACATTATGAATATTGCTGTATCATGCCTTTCCTTTCGGCTGGGGCTGCCTCTGAACTCCATCTCTGGATGAAGGTGGTTTTGTGTCTTATATTGATTCACCATGCAATCCAGACCCACCTTCTCCTTTTCCTCTTGGGCTAACCTGGACATGGTTTGGGGAGTGCATACTGTAGTTGCTTAGCAACTGCAGCCCAGATTCTTCCTTCCATCTCCCATCAAAACGATCAGAATACCAATTGGGCAAGAGATTGAAGCTGTGATCAGAGGCAGGGCACCAGGCAAATGAGTAGTTCAACACTGTCTGGAAACCACCCCACTCGGTCAGTGACTCCACTGAGTTTCCTCCTAGTCTGCACTTTAGTTTGGGTCAGCCCAGAGCTCATTGGTTTGGCCTTCCTTGCCTAATACACAACCATTTCACTACCAACCACATCAGCTTGGTCAAGAATCTCCAGTATTTTGCAGCCCGAAAAAATGGTGGAAAAGGCACTGGATGGGTACTGCCAGGAATAGGACAGAGCCATCCCTAGGTAGACTGCAGCCCATGTCTGGGTGTTCCTGTGGGATGGTAGCAGAGGGGGGTGAATGGGACAGCCATCAGGAGTCTTGGTAGGAGCAGGTCATAGGACTGCTTGACATTAGTGCCCATTCATGCCCCATCTCCAAGGTTTGGTGGGGCTCAGACAGTTCTGTTCCCAGAGTTCCTGGGGTTTGAGTCCTGCCTTCCACGGCTGCCTGGGGAGAACAGCTTCCGGTGTAGACTCCACACCCAGTGCTGCAAAAGAAACAGATGGGTGAGTGTCTAGATACAAAGAAAGACACCAAGCCTCTTAGTTTTTTCTGGCTATCCAAAACTCAACAAGTTTCTAGTTCTCATGAGCCAAATTTATACATGATTCTCTGCAACCCACCCTGGTCTAGTTAAATATAATGCATTATAAGCTCTGATAGGGACAGCATACAGGTCCTACTTCCCTGTAAAAATAAAACTTAGCATTTTGTAGCTTGATTTTTTAAGTATTTAGAGCACTTCACCTAGATTATCTCCAGGTTTGTTACAACAACCCTAGAAGGTAGGTCAATATTATTTTCCCCAATTCGCACAGGTGGGGGGATGAGGCTGATAAACTGCAGTCACCCAGTAACACCATGCTTGAGGCAAAGTTTAAATCAGTGACTTGCCAGTTCACACTGTTACCCATTAAATTATGCCAGCTCTGTAGGGATTAGATTAATTTAAAACAATTGTAGTAGCGTTAAGACAACTGGATAGCCAGTGAGAACAGCACACAAGACAAAGAGAAGCTGCAGGATGGTGAAACACAGATAAACCTGGACAGTACAGTCATACATGTAACAGGGATGGAGTGAACTTGAGCAAGTAGTGTGCCTGGAAATAAAGGCTCAGAGAAAGACATGGGGGAGTGCCATGTGCTGCACTTTGGGGAAAAGGTGACAGTAGTTAGGTAAAGAGGTGGAAGGGGGTTGCACAAAGGCAGAGAAGTTTGGCAGGGGCTCTGTACCTGGCCGCCATGGCCTCAGAGTGGGGTCACTGGTTCGTCGACAACGCCAGAGCTCTGGCAAATAAAGAAAACATATGAAAGCCATCAGGGATGGCGTGGTGAATCCTGGTGGGGAAGGGTGGGACAGGAGGATTGCACTATCACACACAAAAAAGCACACAAGACTTCTGCCCAGGCGCACACAGCCACTGGGTTAACAGCACCTAACCCAGAACAGCATGCCCCTGACCCTTTTCACAGCAAGGAGAGATTTGGTAGAGCCCCACTGGCGCTCTTTCACAAAAGATGCTTCCCAAACTTGGTGCCTATTTATACAATCAGCAGAATCAAGTGATAAAAGTGTATGTGTGTGTGTGTGGAATAATGAGCCTAGGGCGTGGATACCTTATTTCTATAGGAAGTTAGCATAAATGGGGCTGAACTCTTTTCCCGAGTGCGCTCATTTTGTCTGGATAAGGGGAACCATTTGAACATGCAGCTCTTTCCCTGCTGGCAGCCTGAACCAGTGCACTCCAGGAAGGGCTTTACCACATGATTCTCTCAATTGTATAAATGGACCCATGACAACAGACACCCTCGCCAAAGAGCCGTTGGGTGTTGTGTACACTCACCGACTGGGGGTGCCCCAAAGCAGTGCTGCTGCCGGGCAACGATCCTCTTCCTTGCCTAGGTAGCTCTTGGTGGCTTGGGGAGGGTCCATCGGACTCAGACGTCTCGGCTAAGGGGAGCAGCAGAGAAAGGTAGGGGTGAGTGCAAATTTGAGCAGCAACGCTCTATGAGAAGGCAGGGAGAACAGCAGTGGGCACTCACCCCTTGGGATGGGCTTGACATCCAGGTCCCATTCCTCTTCCTCAAAGTGGCCGGGTAACGACAGCCCGGGAGGGGCCCCAGGACTAAGGCCGAGAGGGGCCAGGCGCTGGGCAGGGCAGGAGGATATGCTCATTGAGACAGACGGATGGGCAGCTGAAGAGAGGGAGAGAAAAACATCCAAGGCATTCTTCTTAAAAACTGCTCCAAGTGCTAGCAGTACCTTCAGCATTCTCCCATCTCACCAAACAGAAACATCTTTCTGGCCTTTCTCTATGCTAAGCATTAGGTATAGCAAGGAATATTCAAAGGGCTATGCCCTACTTTCATCCTGTTCGCACACATATTATGCACATGATTTCATTTTCCATTTTTTCTCCACAAAGAGAGGATAGTGCTCAGTGAGGTGGTGTTGATACCCGAGTTTTCTTCCAGCGCAGGCTGGCTCATTATCGCAAGTGGGGCACTGCCCCATGAATCTCAGCCTGCCCACACCCACCTGTCTGCCACCTAATAACCAGCCCAGGGAATTAGTGGCACAATCCACCAGCCATCAAAGATCCTTTCATACAGAAAACAGATCTTCATTACAGTAAATGACAGAAGCACCTCAGAGGAGTGGGGCAGGCCCTACTCTGACACCTGGGCAGGACCTTTTTCTACTTCTCCCTAGTTTGCTCAGGATCATTAACTGAAGTGGCCACGAGACCATCTACATGTGTCCATCTGTACACCAAGATCTCCACCAGAGAGTCTTCTAAGGGCTCCCCTGCCATCTGAGGCACAGCAAGTGGCTGTCAGGGAAAGAGCTTTTTCAGTGGTGGCATCCTTATTTTGAAATTCCCACCCTAGAGAAGCTTTTCTGCTGCTCATGCCAGTGTCATTCTGGCAGCACGCAGAGACCTTTTCATTTCCCCAGATGTCTAGTGCTCTTAATTCTTGCTGGACTGTTTTATTTTGTGCTGCATTGCTACATTTCTTGCCTTTAGCTTATTTAGATGTTGAGAATGTATTATTCTCTGTGTGTTTTATCCCTTTTTTATTGATAGCTACTGGGATCATTGTAACTACAGGAAGGCAGACAACATTTCATAATAAAATAAATAACCATTCCTCTTTGGAGAGCAGTCTGTGCTCTTGGCCTTTTAACTATTTTCACTGAGAGAGGAAGAAAATGAGGAAGAAGATTAAGAGCTTGTTAAAGTGAAGTAACTGTCTGCACAAACATTGCCCTGATACAATTCTCATTCTGCTGGGACAATCTCTTAGGTAGCCACATACCCTGTCTCCATAGCAGTTGGGCTATAACATTTGTCCATTGATGCTTCACTTCAGCAGAGGCTGCCTGCAGTGTGTAGGCCTGTCGGCCTGGTCCACGTCCAAACCATAGCTCAAAGCGTAGCCCACTAGGCCCCACACTCTCTGTCAGCCCCATGGATGCTGTCTGTGGAAGAAAGAGAGAGGATAATGAAAAGTTAGGATAGGGCCACCTGCAACAAGAAGTAGGAAGTCTATGTTCAAGAGTGACCTGGTTCAGACATAACATTGAGCCAAACTGTGACTTTCTGAGTACAGAGAGTGGTTGTGCCTGCCCTGTGGAATGCCCTCCTGTCAGATGTCAAGGAAATAATCAACTACCTGACTTTTAGAAGACATCCAAAAGCAGCCCAGTATAGGGAAGCTTTTAATGATGTTATACTGTGGTTTTATAATTTGTTGGAAGCTGCCCACAGTGACTGGGGCAACCCAGTCAAATGGGTGGCATATAAATAAAGTAGAAGTAGTAGTAGTAGTAATAATAGAATAATAATAATAATAATAATAATAATAATAATAATAATAATAATAGAATAATAATAATAATAATAATAATAATAATAATAATAATAATAGCAGCGTATGGTTTTCCAGAAGGGAAACAGCTACTGCTGTGCTCCTCCTCTAGTCCCACTGCACTGCTGCAAGCTAAGCAATGGTTAGGCTTAGCATGTTGTCTGAACCCAAGCTTCTGGCTTGTCTTGCTTCAGACAAACCATGGTTAATAATCCAGGCTTGTTCTTGGTGTATTATGTAATGCCGAACACCTGTCTTTGCTAAATTCAGCTTTCTTGAATTTTAATCCCATTCCGTGTTGCACTGGCAGTTCCTTCCCGCTTTGTGCCCTATGCAAATCAGGGGTGGGGATGTATATTCCACCAAACAGGTCCAACAGTTCCATTCCAAGTAACCATTATTCCATCCGTTTATGCCGCAGGAGCCTGTCTTATGTGTCAGTGCCCTCCTTCCCAAACCACGCAGCTCACGACTCAAGGAAAGGAGCTCTCCATCGTAGACACACTTGCGCACCTGCAAGGCCTGTTTGCAGACGTAGCCGCCCTCGGGTCCCTTGCACTTGGTGAAGAGCAGCAGCCGCTCAAAGAGGAAGACATGCCGCTGGCACTTACGTCGCCCACACACCAGGGTGAGCTCACCACGCTGCAGCAGTGGCCCTTGTTCCGATAGTTTCATCTGCAAGGAAACAGGAGGGCTGATCAGAGTCATCTGGCTAAGGTCTCCCACCCCCCCAACCACCCCAATCGCAGAAGTGGTCAAAAGTGTCACTTGTCCAGTTTCCTCGTGTGTGTTCCCACTCAGTGTCCTGCACAGAGATCCCACAGTGCAGCAAGGGCAAAACCTGGCCATGGGCAAGCACCAGAAGACGGGGATACCTAGTTTGAGTGAGGGACAGGCAGTAGGGGAGGGAGCAGCGCATGCACAGGGAAGCAGCAGGGAGGATGCAGCGCTGCATGCCAGGGGAGCGCCCATGCGCTCACCTCGCAGCCCCGGATCTGCTCTGCGGCCAGCAGGTCCCTGCCTCGCTGCTCCTGGGCCTCCAGCAGCTGCTGGGCCTCCTGCAGGGCTTGGCGGTCAGGCCCCCGCTCCAGCTCACATTCGCGCAGCAGCTCACCCAGGAAGCGCCGGTACCGCTCCAGCTGCTCCAGGGGCACACGCAACGTGTGCGCCGTTTGCCCATCGTCACGCAGCTCTGCCGGGCTCTTCTGCACGGAAAAAGGGGAGAGAAAAGGCAGCTAAGCTGGGAGCAGGGCAACAAGATCTTCTGCAGAAGTGATGGAACTCAAGGCACTCAATCTCTTGCCCTTCCTTCACCCATCTGCCACAATACCCTGGACTCCTGTTGTTGGGCTGGACGATGAGGGGTGGTGGGAGGCACCAGGCAGGGAGCCCCCAGGGGAGATCCCAGAGGAAGGCTCAAACCCTGGGGATTGTTGGTGGGACACTGAGGAGAGGTCAGAGGGGGAAGCTTGGGAAGAGAGGCTGGATGCTGAAGGGGCAACAGGGTTTAGTGAACAGGAGGAACCTGTGACAGGGGGCAGTTCAGACTCTAAGGCTGAAGCATCCCAGGAGTCTCCCACTCCGGCTGCGACAAACTTCCCTCCCCCCTGGTCTCCAAAAACTCGCAGGATAATGATGAGGGCACAACGGAGACCAGAGGTGTGCAGACACATTTTGAGACTGCTTGGGGAGCATCTGGGAGCCCTAGGAGGGGGTGGAACACTGGGACCTTCAGTCCTGGCAACTGCTCTATAGGGGCAAGACCTGTGGGGAAGTGTTGCTGAGTTGTATGCAATTTCCTTGAACAAAGAGTTAACTTCACTGACAGCTGACTCTGTCTCTTTGCTCTGACCTGCATCTGACTCCAGCCTTGACAACTGTCTCACCCAGAGTCAGAGAGAGACTGAAAGGTGCACCAAGTTTTCAAAACACCCACATACAGAGGCCAAGCTCCTCACAAATCAGATGGCTACCTAGTTGAACATCAAACTCCCGCTAAAGATTAGTGCCATGGAAGGATTTTCAATAAGTGGGTCGAAAGAATCTATTATAAGAGAAAGCTATTCTATCAGCAACCTACCCATACAAAGGTCAAAGTTAAAACTCGGTCCCCTGCGGCCACAGATCTTACCTTGCTGGTGGTTCGAAGCAAAGATAGGGCAGCCTGGAACTTGTGGTGCTCTTTGGCATACGTGGCATAAAGTTGAAGCTTATCTCCCTACAGAAGAAGAGAGAGAGAGAGAGAGAGAGAGAGAGAGAGAGAGAGAGAGAAATCCCTCATTCATCCAACTGAGCAGGAGGCCAGACATAAGGCTGCTGCAATGAAACAATGTGAAATCTAGCTCATGTGAGGGGGATTATTCCTTCTCTTCCCCAACCCACCCCCATTTCCTTTAATGGGAAAATATGCCCCAGAGGCGAGCTCAAAGGACAGAATTGTTATCTCTCCTTCTTTTCCACTGGCCCTGTTGTTGCTTCTTTCAACAGAGGTCCAATAGGCATTAATTGGGCAATTAAATTCCCCATCATTTTATCTCTGTGCCAGGAAAGGCTTCAGCTGCTACATTCCTATGTGCCAGAATGGTAAAAAAAAAAAAAAACAGGAGCAGAGCTAGTTTGGTTTTTAAGGTTGTTTTCATTCATCAAAACAAGCAGACCTTCTGCAGCAGGCACAAAGGGAAGAAGGATTTTTCTGTAAGGGAACAACACCAGTGTGCAAGAACAAAATGATATTAGTTGTGGGGAGGCACTCACATGTCGCAGGAAGCAGCCCCCAGCACGTGACGGGTGGTTCATGCACCCCTCCAACTCGCCAAGGAAGTAGCTGGTATGGAAAGCCAGCAACTGGTCCCGCAGGGCCCGGAGAGCACTGCCCAAGCACCTCAGTTCGGCCGGCCAGGCCTGTCCCCCAGGTTCTTGGGACAGAGAGAGGGGCTGGGCAAGGGCGGTCAAATACTCCCGCTCACACTCCAGCAGCTCAGCCAGAAGTTGCTGTTGGACCCTGAGGAGAAAGGGGGAGGTTGGAAAAGAATCACACACCCCTCCCCACGGCTCTGATACAAGGCCCATGTCTACTAGGATTGAGTTAAATGGATCTTATCCATTGTATGCTTTTTGTCATTTTTACATCCACCGCTACTTTGGTAAATAAGCAGTGTGTGTGATATGTGTGTGTGTGTGTGTGTGTGTGTGTGTGTGTGTGCGCCAGTTATTTACCAAACACTCTGTGCATAGAAATGATAAAAAATACACACATATATTTCTACATATACACAAACATGCACATAAAATAAAACGCAATACCAGTTCCAAGCCACTTGGCCCTCCCTGAACAATATAGGGTAGGTGGGTCCTGTGAAGTGAACAGTTTTGTGGGGTGTTGGTGGTGCAATACTGCTGATAATATAGTGCTAGCAGATTGGCTAGTGTTGTTGTTGTTATTTTATTAAATTTATTGGTCGCTTTTTCTTTGCCAAAGGGATCTCAAAGCAACTTACAACCAAAACAAACAAACAAACATAGATACCTTTTTAAAAACCCCATTAAAATACTACACTAAAATGCATTAAAAACACCCCACCCACTGCTAAGAGGCCACAGAAAGAGGCCTGGTTCAAGAGAAAAGATTTTGCCTGGCACCTAAAGATATATAATGATAGCACCAGGCTAGCCTTCCTGGGGAGAAGATGGCAGATCAAATGGCAGACACATGAGGCCTAGCGCACAAGCAGCTTCTCTGTGCATTTTAATACATTTACGAAGAAAAGCTTGACCATACTAAACATTAATTCACGGGAAAAGAGGGTCAGGGTGACATTTAGAGTACCCTCCGCTACTCACCCAAGGCAGCGCCTTCTTTCCGTGCGAGGCGTGGCCCCCCAAGGTGCTTCTGCAACGTGGGTCCCGCTACGGCTCAGCAGCACATGCTCACGGGGAGAACAGCTCCTATCTGCCAGCTCGCGGCTGCTCACCTCCAGGCCGCGGATGTGCACGCTGGGGCGGCCAGGGTCACTCAAGGCCCGCAAAGCCAGCTGGGAGACGGGGGACAGAGATGATTTGGGGCTGCTGGGAAGGCCCTGCCTCTTCTTGCCACTCTCCAGGACGCCGCTTTGAGTGGGAGAACAGCAAGGCGAGGCCTTGGGGCTGGGGTGCGGCTGGAAGAGGGAGGTCAGGCTGCAAGAGGAGCCAAATCTGGACCCCAGGCCCCAGCCGTGCTTGGGTGAGGAGGAGGCACTGATGCTGCAGGCCCGTGGCCGTGGGGCACAGCCAGCTTCTGGCACGAGCTGCATCCTTCCTGGGGACTTGGGGCTCTGCAGCAGTGTCCTCTCCAGTGATGCCCCCTCAGCCAACCCTACGACAGGCCTCTTTGCTTCCCTTTTCTCTTCTACACAGTGGCCAGTAGATTCAAGATGGGCCTTGTTTTCCAGAGTTTGCTCCTGAGCCTGTGTAGAAGCGGGAGAGAAAGAAAAAAGTAGCAAAAGCTTGGCCAATCCCAGGAGGCTGCTCTCTGTTGACCTCACTGTTTCTTATATAGCCAGTGTACAAATTCCACTGTAATTTAAGATCTTTGAGAGCTCCTGAGCATGGCAGTCCCATTCCACACCCCCAAAATGTGGAAATGTCAAGGCAAGCAAACTCAGAAATCTCTCCAGCTGCATCTGATCTTCTTGGATACTATGTGCAAAGTGGAAATACTATCAGTGGGTGAATCCTGCCACCCTCTAGAGCTGGCCCTGGTTGCCACTTTAAAAGCCCAAAGTCTTTAGCTTCTGCACAAGGAGAGGTGAAATTCTGAACATGAGATTTTATCATCACAGCAGCTCTATAGTCTCTCCACACCTCTACCACTACCACAGTTGGTATACCTATCCTGTTTCTGCAACCCCTGCATTTCTTTCGCCATAATGCCTCCTCAGAGCCCCTTCAGACATGGTGCCTACATTTATCCCCTTCTTCCATCACCTGCCTGAGGAAAACAGAGCCCTATAAAAGCAATGATCTGTGAAGCTCCTCTCATCCCTTTCAACAATTCCCAGCAGGATCAAGACTCATGCTTCAGACTTGACTGTTTGTAAGTGCATTGTCCTTTAAAAAAAAATGTTTTTAGGCCTAGCATCTCTTCCTAACGTCATCTGCAGAATTCCTCCAGCTTGATTTTTATAGTTCAGTTCTAGGAACAGTAATAATGAGCTTCAGAGGTAAGGCCCAACTTGTCCAATGGTTAGGGATATCAGGAGTTGTAGTCCTAGTGATGTCTTTAAGGCTCCTTCAGCTCAATTGCCAAACACTAAGAAAAAGAAGGGAAACTTCTCTTCGCTGGTACCAGCTCTGCCAAAGCCCTGAAGGCTGCAGCTTTCCCCACAGACACATAATGAGGGACTTTAGGAATTACCTGTGCATTTTCCCGTTCCTGTTGCAGCACCTCCAGGCGCCGGTTGCTGAGCTGGACCAGCCCATGAAGGGCCTCGTCTACCTCTTGGTAGAGCCTGGTGGCAGCCACAGCCTCTGTACTACAGGGGGAAAGGGCACACACAGTTACTCTGAGCCTTGCGGTATGAAGCTGCTGCATGAAGCGAGGAAGGAAGAAACTGGCGTGGGCCAGGTTAACGCCAGTGAAGGCCGAACTGAACGTGACCCACTTATGGCCATTCTAGGGAACAATCCCCTTCCGCTCGGCTATTTTGCTTTATCTAACAGAAGGGTCTCTCTACTTCAATGGGAGATGCCAACGTGTACAAAAAGAGGGTTCGAGGAAAGTTTGGATAAAAATCTGTTGAAAATTCTTTACATGGGACATTCTCCCTGGGCGGAGAGGGACAGGAATTAGCCCTCACAGTGAATGACACCTTACTTGGAGATGAGGAACTTTGTAAAAAGGCCCGAAAAACTTTGAAAGACTACTTTGAAATCAATTTGAAGACCAATGTAGAAAAAAGGATAATATGGGACGCAAGTAAAGCCGTGATGAGAGGATTTCTGATACAGCAAAATGCAATAAAAAAGAGAGTACAAAATGAAAAGAAAGGGAAAATTTTGGAAAAAATAAAAGATGGAGAGAAGAAATTAAGATCAAAACCAAAATCTAATGAGATTCTAAGGGAAATTAAGCTATATCAGACACAATATATGGAACTGATGAACCAAGAAATAGAATGGAAAATTAAACAAATGAGACAAAGGACCTTTGAATCGGCAGACAAATGTGGCAAATTGCTGGCTTGGCAAATAAAAAAGAGACAAAAATTGAACACGGTAACAAATTTAGAGGTGGAAGGAAAGAATATATTTAATCCCATAGAGATTAGAAATTGCTTTCAAAGATATTTTAGACAATTGTACACACAAGGGCCTCAGAAAGAAATGGACATAGAACAATTTCTTGTGAAAAATGGACTGAAACAGATTTCACAGGAAAGCAAAAGAATTCTGAACCAAGAAATAACAGGACAAGAAATAGAAGGTGCCATTCAAAGTATGGCGTTGGGCAAATCTCTGGGACCAGACGGACTGACTTCCAAATATTACAAAGTTTTGAAGGAGTGGATAATACAACCTTTGAAGGAAGTCTGTAATGAAATTATGGAGGGGAAAAGGGCACCAGATACGTGGAAAGAAGCTTATATTACACTTATACCAAAGATAGAGACTGAAAAGACCCAACTGAAGAACTATAGACCTATCTCGTTATTAAATGTGGATTACAAAATCTTTGCAGACATTTTAGCAAAGAGATTGAAAAAAGTTTTGATGGAGGAGATTCATGGGGACCAAGCGGGCTTTCTTCCAAGAAGACACTTGTCGGATAATGTAAGGAATATAATTGACATTTTGGAAAAGTTGGAAGTGAATATAAACACTAAGGCAGTTATGATATTTGTGGACGCGGAGAAAGCCTTTGACAATATTTCTTGGAGCTTTATGATGAAGAACCTCCGGGGGATGGGGGTAGGCCAAGGGTTTGAAAATGGTATAGGTGCAATATATTCTGAACAGAAAGCAAAATTAATTGTAAATAATGTGATTACAGAAGAGTTCAACATAGAAAAAGGGACACGTCAGGGGTGCCCTATCTCTCCACTACTTTTTATATCAGTCCTGGAGGTTTTGCTAAACATGATTAGAAGGGACCAGCTGGTTAAAGGGGTTCAGGTCGGAGCTAAACAATACAAATTGAGAGCTTTTGCAGATGACTTGGTACTTACACTACAAGAGCCAGAAGCTAGTACGAAAAGGGTTTTGGAATTAATTCAAGAGTTCGGTCAAGTGGCAGGATTTAAATTAAATAAGTTAAAAACTAAGGTATTGGAGAAAAATTTAACATCCTTTGAAAAAGAAAGATTTCAGAATGTGACAGGGTTAACTGTGGTCAAGAAAGTGAAATATCTGGGGATAAATATGACAGCTAAAAACGTGAACTTATTTAGAGACAATTATGAAAAAACTTGGACAGAAGTGAAAAAAGACTTGGAAATTTGGTCAAATCTGAAGCTTTCCTTGTTGGGTAGAATTGCGGTTATAAAAATGAATGTATTGCCAAGAATGTTGTTTTTGTTTCAAACATTGCAAATATTGGACAAGATGGATTGTTTCAAGAAGTGGCAGAAAGATATATCTAAATTTGTCTGGCAGGGCAAAAAGCCCAGAATAAAATTTAAGATCCTAACTGACGCAAAAGAAAGGGGGGGATTTGCCCTGCCAGACTTTAAATCTTACTATGAAGCGGCAGCTTTCTGCTGGCTAAAGGACTGGCTACTTCTTGAGAATACAGATATTCTAGATTTAGAAGGTTTAACAATGTATTTGGGTGGCATGCATACTTGTGGTATGACAAGGTTAAAGCCCATAAGGGTTTTAAAAATCATATTGTTAGGAAAGCACTATTTAATGTCTGGATAAGATATAAAGACTTGCTAGAAAATAAAACCCCAAGGTGGTTGTCACCAATGGAAGCTAAAGCTGTTAAAAAGCTTAATATGGAGTTAAAGTGGCCGAAATACTGGGAAATTTTGGAAAATGAAGGGGACAGATGGAAACTGCAGAGTTTTGAGAAGTTAAAAGGGAAAGTGAGGGATTGGCTTCATTATCACCAAATAAATGAGGTGTTTAAGATGGACAGGAAAATTGGCTTTCAGGTGGAAAAATCAAAATTGGAGACTGAACTGTTAAAATCCAGCACTAAAAATTTGTCAAAAATGTATAACTTGCTGCTGAAATGGAATACACAAGACGAAATGGTTAAATCAAGTATGATTAAATGGGCTCAGGACATTGGTCATAACATTATGTTCGCTGACTGGGAGAAGTTGTGGACCACCGGGATGAAATTTACGGCATGTAATGCCTTAAGAGAAAATATTATGAAAATGATCTATAGGTGGTACATGACCCCAGTGAAGCTCGCAAAGATTTACCATTTGCCTGATAATAAATGTTGGAAATGTAAGGAAAATGAAGGTACATTCTTTCACCTCTGGTGGACGTGCCCAAAGATTAAGGCATTCTGGGAAATGATATATAATGAATTGAAAAAGGTATTTAAATATACCTTCCCTAAGAAACCAGAGGCCTTTCTCTTGGGTATAGTCGGCCAAGGGGTGCTAAAGAAGGATATGACATTTTTTATGTATGCAACAACGGCAGCAAGAATACTCATCGCAAAGTACTGGAAGACACAAGATCTACCCACCGTGGAAGAATGGCAGATGAAGGTGATCGAATACATGGGTTTGGCAGAGATGACGAGCAGAATCCGAAACCAGGGAAGAGAAACAGCGGAAGAAGATTGGGAAAAATTTAAGGACTATTTAAAGAAATACTGTAAAATTAATGAATGTTAAAATGATGCGGGATTAGAAAATAAGTGGTTAACAGCGGTAATGGTCAAGTCAAAGAGAATAAGTAAGATTAAAATTAAGTTAAAATAAGGAAAGGATTTGCTGAAAAATTGATTAGAAATTGGAATACAGAAAGGGGAGGTATGAGGAAGTCGGGGAGGTAAATTATAAGAAAATAAGATTTGAAGTTATACTTGTTTTTTGTTTGTTGTGTCTATTGTATTGTTTTGTTTTGTTTTTGTTGTTATAAAAATTATGGAAACTTTAATAAAAAATTTATTTAAAAAAAAAAGGAATTAGCCCTCACAGGCCAATGGCTGCATACTGCTACAAGTCTTTTTACTGCTCCAGATCAGCTAAAATGTTGCTGCCTTCCCACCCCCACCTCGTGTTTCAGAGATCTTAGGAACAAGCTACACGCTACACATATCAGGGGCTGTTTTTGACCCAATGGGCACATTTCAAATGTTAAGGGAGTGCTGGGGGGCACCAGTCACAAAATGGCTGCCATGGAAGGTGGGGTGTCATAGTGCAAAACAGATGCCATCGCGCAGCATGACATAAAGCTAGAGAGACAGCCGACAACAAAAACTTCATGCTTACAATGGGAAATCAGCTATGTCTTGCTGGTCCTGGTGGTGCAGATCACACAATATTGATTACACACACACACACACACACGCAATGGGAATCAAGCTGCTAAGCTACCTTCCCTGCCACCCACTCACACACCAATTAAGCATCCCCTCCAGATACGTAAGCACATAACTGCAGGATTACTCCAACACGCAGGAAGGTTAATTGAACAGCAGTGAAGTGTATTATACAATAGCTTTAAAAGCCATCCACAAGTGCTGTTGTTGTTTTACATAACTCTGCTACAGAACAAATGGGAACAGGGGACAAAGGGAACTTTCTGCTATGATGCCCTGCAGCCCTGATCCTCACCTGCAGGGCCCCAGAGGGGGCAGCCGTGCCAGCAAGGCCCCCCCACGGCGCTGGAGTTCCAGCAGGCGCGGCTCTGAGAGGAGCTTCTGCATGGTCTCTTGGTGCAAGGTGATCTGGGCCGACACTTCCTACAGGGATGAGATCCCAGCAGTTAGGACAAGGCAAAAGGAATGGGTTGGGGGATAGTGGAATGGGAATTCTGACTTCAACGACAGAAAAGAAACTATGGCAACGTGGTAATGCTGCATACCAGCGCTGACATGACTATCATAATAACTAGCATAGAACAAAACAGCACAGCAACACAACCAGTCCTGACTCCTCCACCCAAATTGTTTATTCAGAATTCATCCTGATATGTTTGCACCAAGCTAATACAGAGGTTTGATTGCATCCAGTCTTTATTGAGCATTCATGCTGATTTGTTTACGGAGCAGTTAGAGATACAGTCAAACCTCGGATCCCGAACACCTCCATTTTGGAATGTTTCGGCTTCCAAATGCAGAAAACCTGGAAGTAAATGTTCTAGTTTTCAAACGTTTTTCGGAAGCCGGACGTCCAATGCAGCTTCCACTAAGTGCAGGAAGCTCCTGCAACCAATCAGAAGCCGCGCCTCAGTTGTCAAATATTTCGGAAGCCAAATGGGCTTCCAGAACGGATTGCGTTTGACAATTGAGGTTTGACTGTACTGGAAAAAAACCACTAAAGTCATGCACATTCTGTGCTTTAAAAATGGGGGGGGACCCCATTCAGATCCTCAGTAACCCAAATACTGCAGCAAAACCCCTGGATTCTACAATGGCCAAATAATCAAGCAAATTTGTTGATATTCACCTTACTTTGAATAATTTTTACAGCCGCTGCTCATCAAAGGGAAGAGCAAAGAGATACACAAAGTGGTGAAACCTCACTTCCTGACCACTAGAAAACTTGGTCAGTTACCCCAACCCTCCACAGAAAACTAAGCAGCCTGCACTCTGAAGTGGTACAACCGAGATGTAGGTTTATTTAGTCACTGTCTTGATTTTTTTCACCCTTATTACTGTAGCAGTACACAAGGGAGTATCTGCAAAAAGATTCCAGTCTTTTTTAGCATGCCAAGCTGGAGATTCTCCACACTATATGATTCTTTGTAGGACTAATGCAGAATACATGAATTACATACAGGCCTGAGACCAACTGAACCAAAGTTCAGTCCCATCTTAGTGTCCACAGCGGAATGGTTATTCTGATGCTTTCACAGTAGGTAAGGCTGCATTCCTATGCACACTTACCTGGGAGTAAGCCCCACTGTACTCAATCGGGCTTACTTCTGAGCAGACATGTCCGTATCTTATGTAAGTCGTAACAACTATAGAACCACAAGTGAACCAGAGAAACGTACAAGTCCATAAACAAAAGTATCACACATCACAAAAACAAACCAATTACTTGCTATGCTCCTGCACCCTCATAGTGTCTGGAGAACCACCACATGAGTTTACCTCTTGACTTGACGCTGTTCCCACTGCTTCAAGGTGGGCACTGGCCTCGCACACAGCCTGTAGGACACTACGACAGAGTGACTGCAGTTGCTCAAGAGCCTGTGCAGAGAGAAGAGTTGGGGCAGAGGAAGATAAGTACCACAGAAGTGCCGAGCTGGAATATACAGGAAGGTCACCCAGAGAAAATGCCTTGTGAGAGAAGGAGGAGTCACAGTGGCCCGTTGTCATTTGTGGTTAGTGGTCTGTGGGCCCACACGAGGCCCAAGTTAACACAGAGTCTGGATGCAGCTGGAGTGGGGTGAGAAGGTTCAAGGATATGCTGAAAGTCAGTAAGGAAAAGGCTACCTGTGGACACAGCGCCGAAATTTGTGGGTGCCCAGCTCCTTCATGGGAAGTTTTGTGAGTGCTGTGGCACCCAGGGAGCCAGCGCTTATGACATTAACCGTATACCACTAGGAAGGAAAGGCAGGGGGATTCTGTGCAGGGCTGCGGGGAGGCTGCCTTGGTTCCATGGATGAACCATGTGCAGAAGCACACAAGATCCATTTCCTTGATAATCTCTCTTACCTGGTGTTCCTCAACCCATTTGCGTGCTGAGTAGTTCAGGGTCCCTCCTAGTGTCGGAGTCAGCTGGTCCAAAGCCACATAATGTGGCAGTTGAGGAAGAGAGAGAACTCTGACCTCCTGTGGGCAAAGGAGTCTATTAGGTCAGAGGCAATCCTGCCTCCTTGCATCAGTGCCTAACCCCAGTCCCTTCACCACCCATCTTCTGCTCCAGTCGTGAACCCTAGGTCCAAGATAGGCCCAAAGTAACATTAGAGAAGAGAGGGGCAGTCCTTAGCTATTTATAATTATCACACACGCACATACACACACACACACACACACACACCTTGGAAGTACAGTTATGTACGACAAAGTACAAATTAAGTTGTCTCTTTCAGTGTTCTCTCTGCAGTATTTTGTCATGTTTATATTCCACTATTTTTATTCTGCATACAGAGTGCTGGCTGGGGCTTAGGAGGCCTGGATTCAAATCCAATAACATCCAACTTGTTCTTCAAGATCACAGGGTTTGGGTGGGGCAGGAGAGGCTCTACTCATTGTTCCCATGAGCATTCCTGGTACAGGGGCATGCAACAGGGCCTTCTCTGTGGTGACACCCCAATACTAGAATGCTCTCCATTTGGCAGTACATTTTTCCTCCTTCCTTTATAACATTGAGGCACTAGCTGAAGATGCTTCTGCTAGGCTTTTACAAAACCAGTAAAGTTGCTTCAATACCTAACAACTACAGGTAAGGTTTTTTGTGTTTTAATGGTTCTGATATTTTTAAATCATATTTGGCTATCTGTTATGCTTTATTTATTGGAAGTACTTTTTTTATTGTGCATTGCACTGGGATCCCTTGGGACGAAAGGTGATTCAGAAATGCAGTCAATAAGTGACCTTCCCCCCTTAGCCATGAAGTTCACTGGGTGACCTTGGGCCAGTCACAGTCTCTCAGCATAAGCTACCTTACAGGGTTGTTGTGATGGAAAAATGGGAAGAGAGGGGGCTACCTTGAGCACCTTGGAGGAAAAAGTGGTATATAAACAATAATAAATCGGAGAATTTACCGCAGCAGGTTCCAAAGCCAGCTCCTCTTCGTGGGGTACAAAACGGTCATCAGGTGGCAATATCACCAGCAGCTGACGGATGGGGGCTGGAGAACTCTCCTAAAAAGATAAAGGATTTTGCTTTATGGAGGCGTATTTGCATCAGGTTTTCATAGAGTAGGAAGAAAAGATGGGAGGTGGTTCTGAGATACAGGCAGAGGGAGAAAAAGTTGTGGATTAGGGAAGAGGAGGGGGCCTTGGACATAGGGCATAGCCACAAGAGCGGCAATGTTCTGTGGTATGCAAGAGGCAACAAGGGGTCACAGAAGGGGCTTCTTAGTAGTGTCTCTCAGACAACGAAATGGAAAAGCCAAAGCTTTACCATATTGCTACCCCATCCCTCCTCTGGGTGGGATAGAAATTTAATTAATAAATTAATATATTCTCAAAAGGGTGGAAAGCTTTGTTGTTGTTTTAATCCAGTACCATTTTGATGTCCAGGGCAGAAGAGTTGGTGATCACTTTTCATTATGTAATCATAATCATCGCCAGGATCATTACTGTTATTATGCCATTATACATACCTATCCTAAATATGGAAGGCTGTGACAGGGAGCACCTTCTCCTCCCCCCACCCTTTACATTCTGAAGATATTGCCATAATAATTTATTGCTGCATCAGTAAAACCCACAGCCTGTCTACTGAGGAACAGGAGCAGAAAACACGAGGACACAGATACAGAGCTCCTACAGTCGAGTCAGGAAGATACCTGGAATGTCCTAATGGCCGGCAGCAGCACAGGGGCCTGGAGGGCCCAGTCATCCACCTGGCTCAGGTCCAACAATAGTGTCAACCCACGGGCCTTCAGCTCTTGCCTGGGACAATTGTGGAGAGAAAAGGGAGAAATGGAGCTGCAAAGTCATCAAAGGGGCAGCAAAATCAGTGTACAAAAGCTGGTCAGCATATTTCACTTGTGAAGGGCTTCATGGAGGCATAAGGCTTATATTATCCTCACAATAGGCCACAGTTGTACAGATGAGAAAACTGAAGAAATTTCTGTGTATATATATATTTCTGTGTACTATCATTAGTACATACAAGGCATAGAAGGAAATTCTTTGTTGTTAACAATTCCAAATTAAGAAGTAGAGAACTGACAGCAACTGTGCACTGAATGGTACTAATTAACATCATGGTGTTCAAAGCGCTCCACATACATTATATCAGCACAGTTTACTGGCCCTTATAAGGTAGGCCTGTATTATTATCTCCACAGATGAGGAGAGGGCGGTGGGATCTAGTGGCTTATTTAAAGCAGGGATGGGGAACCCGAGGTCCTCTGAATGCAAGCTGGGGCTGACGGGAGTCAGAGAGTCAAAGAGCAACAGGAAGGCCACAGGTTCCCCATCCCTGGCTTAAAGCCATGAAATGAATTCATGGCAAGATATGAACTGAGGGGGTTTTTTCCAGCTCACTGCTCATGCCCTTAACCATGATGCCACATTAGCTCATGAAAACACTCACACTTGGCGCAAACAGTGCCTCAAAGGCACTTTTTAGCATCATGTGTCAAAGCAACTTATAAGTTACAAATTTAAGCCAATTTGACTGTTAATGGCTTTCCAAAGCGGTTTCTGTTGGCTTGCTATTTTATGACGATGCTGAGGAGAATTTACTGAATTTTCCACCTTTCTTGGTGAATTTATTTTATTTTTCTTTGGAAAGAAATCCTGACAATCAGCCTCACTCAAAGACTATTTACATCTTTGTTAGCACAGCTGTTTACTCAAGCCGACACACTTTTATCTGCTGCCGGGTCACCTTGGGAGGAGCTGCATCTTGAGGTAAAAGTTTACCTGAGAAGGGAGTACAGGTATCTCATGGTATTGACTAGATCAGTTTGTCCTGGTGGCAGCTCATCCCGAAGAGGCTGAGGCACCACAATCAGCAAGGGCCGTCCTGACCTGTCCATTCCTCCTGTGGAGAGAGCATCAGAAGAAAAACATGAGGGACATTTGTCCTGGAACCTGGGAAAGCTCCCGGTCCTGATTCAAACAAACGAGCAGGTTAGCCACTCAAAATCCAAATTTCATTGACTCCAAACTTCCTTTTCTTCTGTTGCCACCCTACCCCAGCTGCTCAGCTACTGAGAAACAGCAAACAACAGTAAAAAAAAAGAGGGTTGCAGCTTCAAGAACCTGTCAAGAAAGATGAGGGGCAAAAAAAGCATTTGGGTCCACTGCTTCAAGGCAAGCAGGAACTTGGAGTGAGGTCTGACAGAGCCTTTCTTCTTAACAGCCACTTTTTTCACTGGGAATAGCAAGGGACAGAAGCCTTTAAAACCACTACTCTAAAGTGCACAGTTTTAAATGAAGACCTTAGCAAGTATTTGAGGATATGGGGAAGCATACGTTCTGATAGTTCCTGAACCCTTTTGATGCCAATTGAACAAAATGATGGCAGGCATCACAGTGAAGAAGAGCTGAGAAGGGCTTGTGAAATGTTCTTTCTAAGGGCTGGTTAGAAAGGATCTGTGGGCCAGATCCACTGGCTTCCCTTACTTGACACAAGGCTGTGGAACAGCCAAGGGGTCTGATCCAGTTTAGTCCTGACTCACAGTTAATCCTTGTTCCCTCCTCTGAAATCACACTGAGCTTAGATGCCACTCAAATCCCCACCATATAATTAAATTGTTCACACATTGCAGTTCTAAAGTGTACACCTTAAGGTTTAAGTATACATCTCAAAACGCAGCCTGTGAATGAGACAAAACATATGCTTCCCTCAGAGAAGCAAACTTGGCTGCAGCACTTTGCCAAGTATACAGATGGTTGCAAACCTTGTTTTTGCTGCATGTTAAGTGTGTGGAAAAGCCCAGATGCAACTATATCAATGAAGAAGTTTGCTATGCTTGCATGCTAAAGCAGAGATAATACAAGATTAAAGAGGGCAGATTTTAGCCATTGCCATATGCAATCCATGCCTATTTACCAAACCAACACAATTTTTTTTAAAAAAAATAGACTGTTACAGGAAGAACCCCTGAGCTCATGCTCCATAAAATAGTTACTGCGCCATCTTGCCAGGGTTATGTTGCCTTTTGGGGTTGGAAAAAAAGCAGTAATTTCCTACTGATTGAAAAAAAATCCATTTCCTACCAGTTCCTATAATTTATTTGCTCCATAGCAGCAAACATGCAGCACAAAGGCCTAGATCCTAAGATAAGTTAGCATAAGAGAGTTCACAGAAGGAAAGTTTCTAATTCCTGCCTTTGCAGAAGAGCCACATAAAACCCTCCAAAAAGCCTAATTGGAGGCTCAGCCCCCCTCCCAGAATAGAGCTTGAATCCTAAGATAATTTCACTTAAAGAAGTTCACATAGAGAAAGTTTTCCCATTCCTTCCTCCCTTCTCAAGAGGGAGCACACACACACACACACACACACACACACACACACAGGCCCTCATTGAAGCCTTTGTGAGGGTGGCAGGTGGCTGCAGGTAAGAGGAAGGGACAGAAAACTTTATTTCTATGAGCGTCCGTAAGTTAACTAAGGATCCACCAAAGCCATTGTATGCATTGTTCTTTTTGGGTAGAGGGGGATATCTCCAGATACCTAGACCCTGAATGTTCCATACCCTGCAACATTTCTCCAGTGAAAATAGGGATGCCCTATTCCATAATAATAATTTGACTATTTATACCCCACCCATCTGACTGGGTTGCTCCAACCACTCTGGGCAACTTCCAGCATATATAAAAACATAATAAAACATTAAACATTAAAAGACTTCCCTATACAGTGGTACCTCGGGTTAAGTACTTAATTTGTTCCAGAGGTCCGTTCTTAACCTGAAACTGTTCTTAACCTGAAGCACCACTTTAGCTAATGGGGCCTCCTGCTGCTGCCACACGATTTCTGTTCTCATCCTGAAGCAAAGTTCTTAACCCAAGGTAATATTTCTGGATTAGTGGAGTCTATAACCTGAAGTGTATGTAACCTGAAGTGTATGTAACCCGAGGTACCACTGTACAGGGCTGCCTTCAGACCACTCAGGGGTCAGATAACTCCATACCTTGCAAAATTTCTCTGATGAAAATAGGAACATCCTAAGGAAAGCAGGACATTCTGGGATCAAATCAGAAACTGGGACAGCTTTTGTAAATCAGGGGCTGTCCCTGGGAAATAGGGACACTTGGAAGGTCTGCTGTTTGCTCAGAAATAGTGTAAGTGCTCCACTTTTGCGACTTGCAATTGCTTTGCAGATATGGAAGTTGTATCATTCATAACTGACAAAATTAAGGCTGTTTAAAAGACACTCTCCACCCACCTTTCATTGTTTTCCTTTAGGAAAATCTTGCCAAGCGAGTTACCTTTTTCTTTAAGCTACCTGTTCTTATAAACACACACCCAGATGGTGACACATTGTCATTGTAATGGAAATTCTACCTGTTTCCCCTGCTGCTGTATTATGTGCTGGGATATATTGCCCTACACCACAGATGGGGAACACATGCCACCCTCCAGATGTTGCTGGATTACAACTCCCATCATCCCTGATCTTTGGCCATGCTCGCTGGGACTGATGGGAGTTGTAGTTCAGCAACACCTAGAGGGCCAAGGGTTCTCCATCCCTGCCCTATACAAATGTAAGCTCACCCTACAGGTCTTTTTCAAAGCACTGTTGTGTTGCACGGAGGAACACATTGTCATCACTAAGCTCATGTGCTGTGGGAAAGGGCAGCAATCAGATCCCAAAGTTCTCGTCCTTTGCTTCCTCCGAGTCTTCTGCCAATGGATGTTCTTCTATCGAAGGAAAAAGCTTTCCAACAGAGGAAGCGAGAACCTTTGGATCCAGCCCCAAAGGTCTCTACCACATCAGTTGAAAGGAAACAGCATTTCCCCCTAACCTCAGTTTAGATGGCTCTTAAAATGGATTAGATGAACGCAGGGGGAAACAGGTCAATCAAAGGTTATTAGCTACAAAAGCGAAATGGAACCTTCATGCTAGTGGAGCAGTTTAGCTCTGAATACCAGATGCTGGGAACAGATTTGGGGGGGGGGAGAGATATTGCCTAGCACACCCTGCTTTTGAGCTCCCAAAGGCATCTGATTGGCTGCTGCTGAACATGGGATGAATGACTAATTGCTGCTCTGGACTGTTCTGATAGGGCAGTTCTTCGGACAGCTCAAATAACCCCCCCCCACACACACACACACTGGAAAAAGATGGTGGGGGGGGTCTCTGCCCACTTCCACTGATGTACCAAGTGGCCATGCCCCGCCGCCCCCAACTCATTCAGAGTGTGTCAGAAGGAGGCCTAAGGATATACAGTGGTACCTCGGGTTAAGAACTTAATTTGTTCTGGAGATCTGTTCTTAACCTGAAATGGTTCTTAACCTGAAGCACCACTTTAGCTAATAGGGCCTCCTGCTGCCGCCGCTCCGCCGGAGCACGATTTCTGTCCTCATCCTGAAGCAAAGTTCTTAACCCGAGGTACTATTTCTGGGTTAGTGGAGTCTGTAACCTGAAGCATATGTAACCTGAAGCGTATGTAACCTGAGGTACCACTGTACCTCAAATAGAGTTCTCTCTTGCTTGGAGAAGTTCTATGCAAGTATAGCAGTGCACATACAGAGTTCCTTTCAACATCCTCTAAACATATATGGATGGCATGGTAAACAGAGTGTGAAGCTAACCCACATGGCCCCTGCCCCATGTTCTTTCTGTGCGTGGAGGGTCCTCTGATCCCCCTCTTATCATCTCACTGGCATACCAAAAAGCTAAATTGGAAGAGGGGAAAGGATGAGGCAAATTCAAAGAAAATAATGGCGCTTAACCACATGTTCAGATGCACTGTTACTTCTGATGACCAGTTTGTTAAATATAGAGGGATCCTAAAGAGTGCCACTAATATTATGCCTTTTTGAAGCAGCTCCTCCCTTTGTCCTCCCCTGTAACATTCCAGTTTTTCCCTTCCTTTCTGTCCTGCCTTTGTTTACGCTTCCCTTTAGTGACTGCCCTCAGGGAGGTCTGCCTCCCATTTTGCAAGCCACAGGCCTCTGGTAACGTGATCAGGCTCTGGTGTTATTTTGGGTCGTGTCTTGTGGCTTTGGGTTAGGGAGTGGTTTTTGCAAACTGCTGTGATGTGGCATGTGAGGAGGTTTGTTTTGCTCAGACCTTGTGATGTTGAGGAAGATGGCAAAATGTGGGCGAAAGGACAGTCGGTTTGGGAAGCCTAAGGAGACTAGTTTTGCAGAGATCTTACGCACAGTCAGACACAGGCTGCAGTGTGCAATGGCTCCTTAGGTTTCCCACTCATCAGAGTACCTCCATTCCAATCCATGCTTCCCAAGCCTATGAATATTTACTTGGAAGTTAAGCAGTACTGCATTTAACGGGATTTGCTCTCATGCAGTGTGCACAGAATTCTAGACTTGGTGTTCCCATCCCAAGTTCCCAAGGTGGGAAATCCAAAGGGCACTTCCACTGTTCTGCACTCTGATTAATACAGGGCACAATCCACTGGAGAATTCTTCTGCACATGCCCCACTGAAATTAAAAGAAGCTGCATAATGGGCTCTCTCACAGCTCCTACTAATTTTAGCCAGGAGGACCAGTTGGTCAATTGTGCCCTGTGGGCCAGACTTGCTTGCCTCCCACTCCACCATTTTCAGTGGCAACCAAAATCTACATCCCCAGGTGGCCTTCCCTCACCTGAATGCACCTCTGAGTTAAGGGCAGCTCTGAACCAATTTTGTACCTGTTTATGGTTTTCTCTTAGCACTAGCCTCACCCAGCATCTCTGGCACTACTTCCCCATCCCTGCGTAGTGGAGAAGGGCAGAGGAGAGACAGAGGGAGTAAACATTCCAGGGACAGAAATGCGCTCCAACAACTTGGGAGTGCACAGCCTCCAAAGGAGAAAAATGATAACAAAAGGGAAAAGCCTATCCATAGTGGCAAGCCATTTCTTAAAACAGAAAAGGTAGAAGCAGGAGGGATCTATGTGACTCGCTGCAGAGATGTCACAAGCATCATCCAACACGTGGATCCTTGCAATCCATAATTACATTTAACACGTAGATGGTGCTTTAATTGCAATAATATTTGCAACAGCCCTGTAAGACAAAGTAGTTTTATTTTACCTGTAGGACAGATGGGAGTGGGCAAGAGCTGAAAGCTGATGGCTTGTCTACCCTTACCCAGTGAATTTGTGGGATCCTTTGCAACAGCTATGACTTCCTCATGCAAAAGCAGCTTTGCCTGGGGAGATGCCTCAACTGGCTGAAAACCAGCTTTTGATTGTAGCGTGAGTGGATAAGCTAACCAAAGCCTCAGTTTTCCCATTTATAAAATGAATATAATCCAACACTGTATTCCCACACTGTTGTGAATACAAAAGCATAGGGGTACAAAGTTTTCTGCACATCCAAAGGGTTACAAGAAGGACAGAACAAGGCAGTTTCAAATCCTGAAAAGATGACTCTCTGAACCCAAGATAGCCTTGCTTTGTCACTTACCTGTTAGAGCAAAGACACCCGACAGCAGAAGCGCCCAGTCTACAGCCTGCCCGAGATGAACTGCAGCACGGTGAGGGGAATTCTGTGTTTCCTCTGCGCCCTGATCAGCTGCAGTACTTAGGGCTTCCTCTCTCCCATTAGCACTCGGCTCCTTCTTCTTTGGCAATGGGATCAACGTTGCGTCTTCGGTGCTAATGGGGAGGCCCTCTTCTCCCATACAAGGCCCTTCAGTACCATCCACCCCTTGCCCTGGGGGGCTGATGCTCTGTTCCTCTCTGCCAACTGCAGGTCCGTCAGTCTCAGCAGAAGCAGCTGGATCTTCGGCATAAAGGCTCGGACCTTCTCTGCCGATGCCCCTTCCGCTGGTGCCAATGCCACCATCGCCGACAGAAAGAGAGCACTTTTCTGCATCACCCTCTGGCTCCCTGGTGTCAACAGTACATTCTCCAGTGCTAGCAGCCAACTCACTGGCACTGACAACCTCCTCTCCGGCGACAAGGCTTCGATCCCCAGGGACGCTACTTCTCTCCTGGGTGCTGCCGCAAACTGCGATGCTGACACAGCAGTCCTCGATGCTAGCTGCTTGCTCTTGGGTGCTAATTACAGCTTCTGCATTCCTCGAATCCTGTTCCCTTGTACCAACAGAAATTTCCTCTTTCCTGGGCTCTTTTATATCGGTAGAAGCTGCTTCTTCTTTGCTAGCCGGATCGACCCCCTGTCTAATTCGTCCACCGCCTCCTCTCCCGGCCCCCTTTTTCTTCCTGCGGTTTCCCTTGGAGGTGCGTTTTGGTGTGGCTGCAGCCGGAGAGTGGTTCTCATTGCTGTCCTCCTTGGAACGAGCAGGATCATGGTGGACAGTTCCTGGCACCTCAGCTTTCCCTTGTCCTGTGTCCTCAGTGGCAGCAGCGGCAGCAGCAGCAACAACAACATCAAAAATGGCCGCCCGTGCCTGAGTTCCAGAGGGGCTCTGGTTTTGCTCTTGTTGCCCAGGACTCAAGCTCACCACTTCCTGAGAGGCTTCTGATGCTAGACCCAGGACTAGAGTAGGATTTCCTCTCTGCTGCTCAACCCTATCCCCCCGAGCGCTGCTTTCTCGGCTGCACCTCTCCGCCTCCTGGGTTTTACAGGCCTGGCGCAAGGCAAAGTTCTCCCCACACCCAGACTTGTGGTGGAGCCAGGCCCGATGGCGCCGGCTCCTGCTCTTATTGTGCCCCTTGCGAGTAGGCATTGTCTGGATTTGGGTACCGCAAGGCTGTGGGATCCTGGGGGCTTGGTGCAGGGTGGGGCTGACCTCCAGGAGGTGAACGTATTCCCCCTCGGACTCCCGGTTCTCGCTGCCGGAATGGCGCCCGTCTCCAGGGCTCCGGGCCCCCAGGACCTCAGGAGGCAAATCTGCAGGGCACCGCTGGCCCACAATGAACCCGTCTTTGTGCACAAACTGGGGGTAGACCAGTTCCGGCCAGGGCAGGCTCAGCACCTTCTCTCCAGCAGCCAGGAGGCAACGCTCCAGGCGCCCTGCTCGGCGTTCCTTGTTGATGCCATTGAGCCACTCGACGGTGAAAAGGAAGGGGTAGGAGTCAGAGGACACAGGCAGCTCCTGGACGCCACGGCCCTCTGGGGACAGGCATTTCAGCACCAGACGCGGAGAGCACTCCCGGTGAGGCACCACTTGCAGGTAGAAATCGCCAGGGCAGAGGTGCTGCCAGGGCAGCGAGCCCAGCTGCACTAGGACCTTCTCACGGAGGCACAGTGGCCAACCCTCGTGGCAGAACACAAAGCCACTATACTGAGCCTGCAACAGTGGGAAAGAGAGGCACAGAATTATATATGCAGCACTGCCTTGGGAGAAAATAAAATTGTGCATCAAGAAATGCTAAGTCCTGTGACAATGAATATACTGCAGATTTGTTTATTTTGCACCATCTATTTTGCTTCTGCCGACCTCGCAGAGGGGCAAAGAGCCACTCCCTGACAGTGGCGTAGCATGGGGGGTGCAGGGGGGGCCGGCCGCACCGGGCGCAACATCTGGGTGTTAGGCAAATCCACGGGTTAGGGGGTGCAAATCCACGGGTTAGGGGGCGCAAATTACTTGCCTTGCCCCGGGTGCTGACAACCCACGCTACGCCACTGCTCCCTGATCATGAGAAATCCTGTCCCACCCTCCTCTGGCAGCTGGCATTTCACCAGTCAAAGGATTTATAAGAATCCCTCCAGCATCTTACGGGCTAAAAACTTGGTTTCTGCACCAAAACTGAGATTTTCCTGATGCACACACTTCCTGCTTTTGCATGGCACCATCATGGAATCCACACAACTGATGGGGAGGGGAGGAGAGAGAGAAGCCCAGTGCACGTCTTAACATTTCAAAGAACCCTAAAGCTGAAGAAAAGGTACACTCCTTCTCTAAACTGCCATCCACCCATATTCTGCCAACACTCAAATGGGGGTACAAGGTTGATGTGTTTGGAACTTATTGTCTGGAACAAGGGGGATGCTGGAGTTAGTAAGACTCAGCCAGACTCTTGGAGCGAGCTCTAGCGCAGAAGGGGAAGTCCACCAGCTGTGGTTCTACAGGTCTGTAATGGGATTCCAGCGTCAGAACAGATTGCTTTTATACTGCCCCTGTGCTGAGCTAGATTTCCCACTCAGAGGTATACTCCGGAGGAACAGAGCCAAACCGATGCAGCAGCTCACACAGGCTTCACTCTGGATGCGAGCCAGGATGTGCTTGGCAGGAACAAGGAAGTCGAGGGTGTAGCGCAGGGCGTCGTGCTGGTACGTCCGCTCCAGCACCTCGAAGACCTGGCTCAGCAGGGTGGGGGCAGTGGCTTCGAAGGGGGGGTACAAGGCGGCCAGCGTACTCTGGACGCATTCTTCAACCGGCTCAGGTTCCTGCAAAGAGAGAGAGCATAGTGAGGGGGAAACAGCATCCAACAGTAGCCTCCCCTGCACCTTCCCTTTCTGCCCCCTCGCCAGCTCCCTGGCTCTTTAATGCCCATGCAATCACCAGGGAATCTATGCCAATTCCCAGACCATTAAATACTCCAGGACGAACTCCACCACTGCTAAATCCAACCAGTTGCGCCTGTGCCTTCTCAGCACAAACAGAATGTCCTTTGCTGTTTTGCATGACACGGGACTTGCTGCACTGCTGCCAAGGGTCCCTTGTACTTGATCTTGTCCATTTTTTTATTTTTTAAAAGTACATTTTTATTTGCCTTGCTTAGCAAACTCACAGAAGAGATGCAGCGGTCGTGGCTACCTGCAGCAAGCATTGGCTGAAGCCTCACGCCAGACCACTGCCCCCTAGCGGCAAGCCAAATGGGACACGGCAGCAAGGGAGCTGGCGGCGGCGGCGCAGCGCACAGAGATTGGCAGCGTGTATAAAAGAACAGGGGGCATAAGGGGGCAGCAGGGAAGAAAGAGTCTGGGAAGGTGCCAAAGTCTGAGAACAGAGCAGCCGAGGTTCCATCTGGAATACATTAGCAGCTGTGAGCTCATTCCTTCCGCAGCTCCACCCAGCAAAGGAAATGGGGGTGGGGGGAGAGAGAGAGAGAGAAAGAGGCTGCGAGGGAAAGGGGCCAACAGCAAGAGGCAGCCATTGTGCCAGACCTTCCAAATGCACCTAATCACGAGTCGCAAGAACCCTTTCCGTACCACTTGCAAGCACATTGAATAAGAAGCAAACCTTTTAATTCTTTTAAATTGCTTTCCTGCATTGGTTTCAGAATCCACATCAAACGACTTAGCAAACCTATTGCAATTTATTTATTTATTTTGCTTTGTTTTCAAAAATCCCCAAAACTGCAGAATCAGGTGGTGGCACGCTTGATTTACAGGGCACATGCTAGCAGTGGCGTAGCGTGGGTTGTCAGCACCCGGGGCAAGGCAAGTAATTTGCGCCCCCTAACCCGTGGATTTGCGCCCCCTAACCCGTGGATTTGCGCCCCCTAACCTGTGGATTTGCCCTAACCCCAGATGTTGCGCCCGGTGCGGCCGGCCCCCCTGCACCCCCCACGCTACGCCACTGCATGCTAGAAGCTACCCTATACCAAGCAAGGCACTGGCCTATCTAGCTGAGTATTACCTGCACTGACTGGCAGTGCCCCTTCCGGGGATTTTTGACAGAGGGTGACTCCCAGCTTTACTTAGAGAGGCCAGAGACTGAAGCTGAGACCTTTGGTGTGCAAAGCAGATGCTCTTACCACTGAACTGCGACCCTTCCCCTTTGTGTAGTCCTGTACATTTCCAGAGGGGTAGTCAGGTTAGTCTTCTGCATTAGAAAACAACAGAGTCTTTTGGCACCTAGGCGGCTTAATTTATTAAGGAACAAGTTTTCTTGAAGTGCACCAAAGTCTATGAAAGCTTATGCCATGGACAAACTTATTAGTTGTTAAGGTGTTAAAAGTTTCTTTCTTGGTTTTTAATCCCTTCCATGTCTATTCAGAAGTGGAATGAAACACATGTCCAAAAAAGAAGGTATTCTGCAATCCAAATCCTCGTACCTAGAGGCAAGCTCCACTGACATAGGAACACACTGCTGGGTACTGAAATGTGAAAATTCTGGAGGGGTCCATGGAACTATACCATCAATTGAACCAGGGTGGATAAAAATCAATGATTTTTAAAAATAAAACAATGGATTTTTTTTTTTAATTTAAATTGGATTTTTAAAATAAAATGCTTTTGGAGGAAAAAGTATTTCTAAAGATAGTTTTCTATTTAAGTTACGTTATAATCCAAAGGCCATCAGGAAATAAGGATTTGTTTTAAGTTTTTCATGTGTGTTAAAACTCAGTCTAAGTATATATATAAACGTTTAACCACATCATTTAACAAACATGGATACATATGCTACAATGTTATTGTTTTAGTTAAATAAATTGTTTAAATTGTTATTAAGGAAATGGTTATTTTTCTCCTTCCAATAAAGTACAGCAGAAAAGTTGTCCAAATATAAACAGTTAACTTACTAAACCTCACAATAATTTCATAATAATCTGTCTATGTATTTCTAATAGTATAACCAAATCATTAATTTTTGATATAGCTGTAAAAACTATGAAAAATTATTATTCCAAAAAATGAAACCTTCATCTCATTGTAAATATTAAGATTATACCAGCAGGAATGCCTTTCTGTAAAAAAAGGGGGGGAATTAAATCAAGTCTTACTGAATAGTGATTTAAATCGAGATTTAAATCGATTTGATTTAAATCAAATCCACCCTGAATTGAACCTTAAATAAGCAACAAAAACCCTGTAGGAGACGGTGACCATTACAACCCTTTAGAATTGACTTATTTGTACCACTAGCTCTTGTATTTATTTCCAAAGGGGTAACAGTGTTACTCTGTCACAGCAAAAACAATTTAAGAGTCTTGTAGCACACCCAAAATGTCAGGAGACATTTGTTAGGGTTGTATCCAATGTGTTAGTCATACTGAATAGACCCATTGAAATTAATGACCTGAGTCAAATTCATTCATTTCAATGAGCCTACTCTAAATAGGACTAGGTTGGGATGCAGCCCTTCGTCTTTAAAATGCCACAAGATTTTGAGACTTTTTGTTCATTTTATTTCCGCGTTTCTTCAAATGGTTTACAGACCACGCAGTTTTCTGCCCAAAACATTTTGCTGCCTGAGGTGAAGGACAAGATACAGACCCCCACCTCCTAAAATTCCTTGTACAGAAACTGACTGGACTGGCATATGAATCTTGTTTTCTGCAGTGGCAAAAGGACAATGTGCCCGAGTACATCAGGCTCCCTTAGGGAATACAGGGAGCTGTGCAAGACACACAGAGAATTGCCTTCAGCATCCACTACAGCAACCTTATTCTCCCTAACGGTAGGGCCAGATCTGCAGGGCGGCTTATAAAAACCTCACAGTGAAAAGCTCAGTGCTCACATACAACTGATGAAGAAGTTGGAGTGCCTTGAAACCTATCGCAGCATTACGTGGATGCAGAGCACATCTGCAACGACAGTGAATCAGGGCTGCACTTTTAGGTTGCCTTTGTGCAAGCAACCATCTGTTGGGTGTAGCTGTCTAGGGGGGGGGACACCAAATGCAAGAGCACATATTCATGTGTTTTGCGTAAACAGGGCTTTATTTTACATTTCTAAAAAGGAGAGGGTATGCTACTATGTCTTAAAAAATCAGTTCTCCTAATCCCAGATATAGAAGAGGCTGCCTAAGATTACACAATGGTAGGGAAAACAGGATTTGGTGCTTTTTCTCCTTCTCGGTGCCAGAACGGTGATGTCACCTGCCAGAAAGGGGCCCAGAGAAGAAGAAGCACTGCGACAGCATCTGCATCTCCCCACCCTCAGCTTTCCTACTCCCCCCCCCCGACACACACCTTTCTCCCTTGTCCCCCCATTACAGCTGCTGCCTGCTGCACCTCCTCTCAGCTCACTGTTCTCCCCTCTCTTGTTGACTCTTCCACCAGGCAAAGGAAGAAACCATGAATCTTATTTAAGGGCAGGGGGGAGAGACCAGGCTGAAGTATATAGTCCAGCTGGGCACAAGGCAAGAGATGTATGAATACATCTCCCTGGCTGTGTGCTGAGAGTGTTAGTCTTACCTGCCTTTTCACTCCACCCTGCTTTCTTTAAGAGCCCCCCTTGTGGAGCTAGGACTCTCCCAGAAACACACGTCTTCTGCCAGCACTCCCTATTATTTTTCTGGCGCTTCTTTGTTCTCCTGCCTCTCCCCACATTCTTGCACCTGCTTACCTGCTTGGCAGGATAACTTTAATGGCACCGGAGGGCAAACTCTTAAAACGCACCTAATGTCCCACTGATGGAATACTCTGCTTTCCTCAACACCATCAGCAATTCTTCCGCCTCATATACACCATATGAAGTGGTATATATGGACAGGATGCTTTGGAAACAAGATGGGGCAATGTGTAACCCTCTATGCTTTAGTTTAGGGGTGAGGAACCTCAGGCCTGGGGGCCATTAAGCATTTCTGTCCACCCCTTGGGACTCTCTCTTGCGGACACTGCTCCACCCTCTCCTGGAGAGCTTTAGGCCGACTGGACTGTGTCCTTGAACTGTGATAAGGCCTCTTGCTTTCCTTAGAAACCTCTGAGCTTTGCATGACTTGAATGTGGCCTACTGCACTAAGACAAGAGCAACATCTGTTGTTTCCCTCATGTTTTGCCTCTGGCTACACCACCACTGGGTTCCCCCAGAAGGTTGCCTGGAAAAGTACATGGCCTGTGGGCTTTAAAAGTTTCCCCACTCCTGCTTTTTAAGCCAAACGCAGAGGGGAACCAAGTCTAGATCCTTCCAGCCATGTGCCAGTACCTGTCATCAATACAGCAAACTGATCCCTGCTGAGGTAGTTGGCAAGGCCTGCTGGAGGAACTTCAGAGAAGTGTCATCTGGCTACCCTTATCCTTACACGTTTCATCACCACTTCCACCAAGAGATACTTCAGGAGTTCTCCTTCCATGGCACATCACTGGTCACCTCTGGGGCCTGTAAGGAAAGTGCCAGGAGGTAACATGCACTGGTGTGCATGTCAGGAGAAGGGATTGTGTCAGGATGATGCCCAAGAACCAGAAAGATGTGGTGGCCAACAGAGGCTCCCTGGAAAAAAGCCACATACCACTTCAGAAAGGAGTATATAAACTAATAATAATGATAATGATAATAATAATAATAATGAAATCCCATCTTTGTGGTTATCAGCAGGTGGAATATAGTTTAAGCAAAACATGAATGTCTTCAAGTGAAGTGTGTTCATTTTGTTGGAGATAGGCAAAAGGCATCTCCAGGGAGGAATTTTGTCCTCTCTCTTTGCAACCACACAATAATGACCATCAGGGCATCGGGGCCAGCTGGGGGGAACAGTCTACCTGGCCAACTATACCCTTCAAGCTTACACTTCCATAGGATCTTCAGTCCCACTGTAGCCTGCCTTTTCCTTTCCTGGATTGATTGGGATCCCAGTTTCACCTCTGCTGCATAAGTACCGTAACTTGCCAAGTCATCTGTGCCCAAAGAGTCAAAACAAAGAAAGCTTTTAAAACTAATAATTTCCTGGTGATAATAAATTTGAATCGATCTCTTAACTTTGAATCACATCCTTCTCTTTGAAGAGGTGGGCTTGTTATTGTATCATTTAACTGCCCTTGCTTCTTCTCTAGTGAGTATAATTAGCCAATCTATGAAATCACTGAGCTTAAAGGATATTCTCATGCGTTTTTCCTCTTTGGCATAAGTAGTGAGGAATTTGTCTTCTGTTCTTTTGTAAAACACATCCCACTGCATATCCATTAACATCTCTCTACCCCTTTTCATTCAATTTCTGTCCACTCCAGATCCTGCATACTATTGCTGCCTTCACCCTTTGGGACAATGGTGAGGAACCTCTGGCTCTCCAGTGGTGCCCTGGGCAATGCCAAAATTGGGTGCCTTTTGCCTTCCTTTCTACATCACAGCTGTGCCACCCCCAAGGCTCTGCACCCAGTGCGACCAAACCAGCCATGCTTCCCTAAATCCGCCTCTGAAACCAGCATCCGAAATCACCCAGTAAACTCGTTGCCCTTGTGTGGTGGCGGCTTCCCAACAGAGAACTTTTCCTGCCTACTATTCAATATCATTTAACTGGGGACAGCAGGGATTGAACCTGGAATCTTTTCACTGGTGCGAGGAAGCTCACAGGCAGAATTGTGTAGTGGTTAGAGTGCTGGACCATAGCCTGGGAGATCAAATCCCCACTCAGCCATGAAGCTCACTTGGTGGCCTTGGGCCTGTCACTCTCTCAGCCTAACCTACCGTATTTTTCGCTCTATAAGACACACCAGACCACAAGACGCATCTAGTTTTCGGAGGAGGAAAACAAGAAAAAAATATTCTGAATCTCAGAAGCCAGAACAGCAAGACGGATCCCTTCGCAGTGAAAGCAGCAATCCCTCTTGCTGTTCTGGCTTCTGGGATAGCTGCGCAGTCTGCATTCGCTCCATAAGACGCACACACATTTCCCTTTACTTTTTAGGAGGGAAAAAGTGAGTCTTATAGAGCAAAAAATACAGTATCTTGCAGGGTTGTTGTGAGGAGAGAGGAAGAGCCAGGAATGCTACCTTGAGCTCTTTGGAAGGCAGGTGGGATATAAATAAAATAAACAAGCAAACAAACCTTCCAGGCACATGTGAGAGGTAGAAGCAAACTTAAGCAGAGAGATACATGTGACTCTTACCTTTGTACAGCAGGTTGCATTCCAGCCACACAGAAGTCAAGAGGTTTCCTTCTAAACACACCCAATGCACATACAAGCCTCCATTCTGGCAAGCAGCAGTTATCACTGCTCAAGGACGCATTCCAGGCAGGCCAAAGCACTCAAGAGGGCGAGTGACAAAGAGTCCCAAGGGCTTGATAAAGAGAACCAGGCGGTGGCACTCATATCCCCAAGGCCAAGGCATTACATCCTTGTTTTACATGCAGAGCCGGTGCCCTACAACCAGGACCAGCCCAGTCGCTGCAGACCCGCCCACACAAGACGGGCAACTGCTACTTACTGCAAGCACAGCAGCGAAGGTGTCCCAAGTCTCACAGCACCGTGTCAAAACGTCTAGCCAAGGCAGCTGCCGGAAACGAGAGCTCAAGCAGCGGCTGGCAAGGGGGCAAACTCATTCTAGCAGCCGGGGGTGGGGGGTGGCTTAGCAAGGCAGTGGGGGTGGCATTCATTCCACTGCCCCCCTTCAATCTGACACCTGAGACAAGTGACTCAGCGCGTCTCATTATAGGGCCGGCCCCAGCCCTCTTCCCACAAGGAAGGCTCAAACTGGCAACCTGGCTACTTTTCAGGGACTAGCCCTCACCAGGCCTCAGTTCAAGTTTTTAGCCGCACGGTACTTTGTAGAATAGTGGAAAGTATGTCTGTTTTACATTCCTCCTACGCCCCCCAGGAGCTTTTTGCCACTTTCTGGAAGAGAGGCAGGAAAGTAGAGACTCGGAGCCAGCCAAGCTTGAGGGAGAAGTTCTACATCCCCGACAGGAAGAGGCAACCCCCCCTTCCCACACAGACACTGGCAGGAGGCAGGAAGGAGTGGGGAGGCCCCTTCTTGGCTCGCCGTCCTGGAGGGTGTGCAAGGCAGATGGTTCCAGGGAGAACAGTGGCTGGCAAAAAAACAGAAAGCCGTCCTCCTCCAGAAATATTGCTGGTGGAGTATATATATATTCTCTCTCTTTCTCATAAACGGAAATTGGAGTCTCCGCATCTCCATCCTATGTACTAATACCAAACCCAAACTCCTTCTCAAAGCGTGGATCTTTCTGCAATGAAAACAGCACCAGCCATGCACAAAGGAAAATTATCAGCAGACTTGGGGGAACCCCAAGGTTTGCAGAAGTACAAAAAGGGGGAAACCTTCTATTTAAAAAATCCTAAGATGGGAGATCCCAAAATCGCTCACTGAACACTGAGCATGCTCAGTGGGCACAAAATACTGACTGACAGGGTGGGGAAGGGGGAAAACGTGAGGTGAGAATGGAACGGATTTGGCTGGCTAGCTGGAACCCTGAACCAGGTCATTCTACATTGCTGCCTAAGGCAACCCAGCTCACTCTCTGTAATGGTAGGACTGGCCCTATCAGAGAAAAATTTTCAAATCTGAACTTAGCCATGAAGCTCACTGTGACAGTATCTCAGCCTAACATACCTCACAGGCTTGCTTTGTGAATAAAATGGGGGGGCACATAAACCCACTACAGTGGTACCTCGGGTTAAGAACTTAATTCATTCTGGAGGTCCGTTCTCAACCTGAAACTGTTCTTAACCTGAGGTACCACTTTAGCTAATGGGGCCTCCTGCTGCTGCCGCGCCGCCACCATGCGATTTCTGTTCTCATCCTGAAACAAAGTTCTTAACCCGAGGTACTATTTCTGGATTAGCGGAGTCTGTAACCTGAAGCATCTGTAACTTGAGGTACCACTGTATAAGCTTCTGGGAGGAAGTGTAAGATTAATGTAATCAGTGTACAGCAACCTAGTTAGGATTACTCAGTGGAAAGGGCGCCTTACCCTGAACGCAGACGATTGGTCCATCCATCTCAGGGTTGTCTACTGACCATCAGTGGCCCTCCAGGATTTCAGACAGCATTCTCTCCCAGCCCTACCTAGAGATATCAGGAATTGAACCTGGAACCTTTCCCAAGCAAAGCAGATGTTCGGCCACTATGCTACAGCCCTTCCGGCAAGGAAATACATTCTGCACTAGGTCATCATCAGATTTAGCATTCATATAGTGTTTTTAGCAGACTCCAGAAGCTTCACATACTCAACATCACCAGTCCTTAGGGAAAACTCTGTGAGTTATTATCCCCATATTACAGGTGAGGCCAAGAGAGAGCAGCTTACCTAAGATCACCTAGAGAATTCCAGACTGGAACTGAGGAGCGCTTAGTGCACAACATGGTCTCTTGGACACCATGCAACATTTCACAGGGGTTGTACCCTGGTCAGATTATGCCCTGTTTTGGAGCAAGTTCACACATGCATGCACGCACTCACGCACGCAGCACTCAGTAATTGCACAAATTATGTCTTAGCGTTGGTGGAAAAGCCATCGCCTCAATCAAACACCAGAGGCAGATCTCCGTCTTTCATCTAATTCTACAGCGGTGGTTTTCAATGGGTCAAAGTAAACTTTCAAGGATTGCTCAAAGGGATTCACTGCTCAGAGTATGAACTGCCTCCATTTCTAAAAGTGACCAAGTCTTCTCTCTTACTAGCGTCAGGTACGGCCAGCCCTACCATTAGGCAATGAGGCAGCCCCCTCGGGCAGTTGATTTTGGGTGTCATGGAAGGTCAGCAAATTGCTACTTATCTAATCTATTATTACAGTGTGAGGGAACAGCAGCAGAGAGGTGCTCATGGAATTTTCTGCCTTGGGTGCTAAAATAACTTGGCTGGCTTTAGGTACTCAGCACCTGGGGGGACTGCTCCGCCTCAGGTAGCAGAATGCCTTGGGATGGCCTGCCCAGCAATATACTGTGTAAGCCAGGAACTCAGTCCATATATAATTCAGCAGCAATTTTTTATGATCAGGGAAGTTATAGAAAGTCTAAAGGAGTGGTTCCATGTATGACTAAGATGTTACAGGCTGTTCTTTATCTCTTTAGGTCCAGAGGAGCCAATATAATGCTCTTCAGATCTCGTTGGGCTCCAGCTCCCATCAGGCTCAGCCAGCATGGCCAACAGCCAAGGATGATGGGAACTGCAGTTCAGCATCATCTCTGGAAGGCTCCATGTTGGCACCCCCTGCATTAAGAAAATTAAATGCCAGTGTTAAATTCTGCTTCTTCCTAGCCGGAGTGCTGAGGACTAGTTTTTGTATGGCTTTTAAAATAGAGAATGTAGGAAAATGTTTAAACTCATTACTTATCATCGTTGTCCCTACTTATGTGGCACACATTAGTGCACCTATTCTTTTCAAGCAAGTATACTTATTTTTTAAAATCACTTTTATGACAGATGTTAATATTAGCAATATTTATGATATGATTTTATATACTGACTTTCTTCTCTCTTTAATTTTTTTTGTAAATATTACCATTGCAGAGCTATGCCTGTGTTTAGTGGTTATGCCACAACACCAGAGCCGTTAGTGACTAGACTTAATTGTCAGGGGTCCCTTTACCTTTACCTTTTTACTGGTATTCCCCAGAGAAGAGAGTCTTAGATTGAAATACATCAAGAACTGATAACTTTCTATTTAAAAACACAGTTGATACCCACTTTTTGAATGTGTGGAGGGAGGGGGGAAATCACATCATTTAGAAAACGCCACCTTGATCTCAGAAATCGCTGCTGGGCACCACTGACTGCCATGATTGTGTTTCTGCAGACATTTGTGTACCAGGGGAATGGTTTCCATGGAGAAAATAAGAAGCTGAAAAAATTACCTACGAGCCACCCTGCTGAATAAGTGCAGTGCCTTTCCCTTTCGGAGAAGACTTCACAATCAATTCTAGTCCTCACACACCTGGGATTACAGGAGTCTGGCTTATGCCAAGCTAGCTCATTTGCCCCTCTAGCCCAGAGATGTTTCCTTTGAGTAGCACTGAGCAGTTTCAGCAGAAGGCCAGCTCCACCATGAGTCAGGGTGGAGGCAACTGGTCTCGTTTGCCTGAAAGAGCAGAAAACTCTTCTTTATTTTATTTTGCTTATTTAATACATACTCCTAGGGGCCCTATGCACCGTGGCTTGTGGGAGGGACTCTGTTTCCTGTTCTGCCTCAGGTAGAAAAATGCTCTGGTTTGTGGCAAACATTCTTCCCATCACCTGCTACCCACCTATTCACATAAGTATTTCTACACTGCCCTCTCATAGGAGGTCAGGAGGATGGTGTACAACATTATAAAAACATTTTTTTTAAAAAAACCAACACTGTAAGTGGTATAGAACAATAATGAAAATGACCATCTGCTCAAGAAAATGTTAAAACAATTTGCATAGGCCTATCAGCTGCCTGGTCCTTTTTTATCTGAAGACGCCACAGACTGAACTTGGGGTTTCTTCTTTGCGAAGCATGTGTTGTATGGTCCCACCTGACAAAGAGGGGGCTTCCAGTTTACGCTTTCAGGATTAAAGCTCTGGTGCCTTTTGTTTTTAACCCTGAGCACTGAGAGGAGGCGCATGAAGCACACCAGTCGGTGTCCTGACTGGTACTCCCTTAGACCACACAGCCATTATAGGGGTTATGGGACAGGCCCTCTGCCACACTGTCAACTTGCAAAAGCAAAAAGAGAGTGCAAGGCCCATCAAAGTCAAATTACACATAAACTTGTGAAATAAAAGCTGCTGCTTCTAAAGATAAGTAGTTCTGGGAGGGAGATAATAAGGAGGGAAGGGGTTATTTGGCACTTTTCAGTGGCAGTTACCTCTGCCCAAGCCACAGTCTTATTCTTTCCTTGCTCCACAGGTTTTCAAATGTGTTCCTCCTATTTAAACCCATACCTAGCAGCTGAGGAAGAGGAGGAAGAGTAGCAACTAGCATGTGTTTGTGTTTTGGGGTGGGGGAATAGAGTTGCAATGGGGAAAATGGCAAGCAAGGTCATAAGGCAGCAAACAAATGCCTAAAAAAGTATCAATCTAGCCATTTTTCCTTTGAAGAACCACCTACTGTGGTTTTGCGGCAAGCATTCACAGATCATGTGCAGTTTGACTCTCACAATTCTTTGCATGTGTGTGCACACCAAAGATTGCTCTTTTTCAACGGAGCCAGGAACCAGGTCAACCTTTTCTGGGGTTTCTTTGGATCTATAAATGACAGCCATGCAATAAGATACTAAAATATGTTCCCCTTTGCTGACCTCCCACACAGATCGTAGGACTTTGTTTAAATCCGGAAGAAAAGGTATCTTGCCACCACCTCCAGCTTGGAGCAACCAACCTGAGCCCAGCTAGAACAAATGCCTGGTCCACACACGCAATGAGATCAGGTGTCTCCTTCAGAGCCAACTTTCAGCTAGCTATGCTGCTCTTAATCCCCGCTCCAAAATGTAAGGTTCCCCCCCCCACACCCAATAATATACTCTATCAATGCCTTTTTTGTCCAAGAGCATTTGAGAGTGTTGTTAATGAGGGAGGGAGGCAGGAGAGAAGAGTAGACTAGAAAGCAGAATGAAGACACACAATTCTAAACCAAAAGGAGTGTTCTGGTTAGTGTAGATTCTAGTTCGAATTACAGATGCAGGAAACGTCAAAGGAAACTCTCTGTCTGAGCATCCCTTGGAAAGAGAGACTCCTGCCAGGTGCTGAAAACCACACTCTCTTACTGCACGGCCAGAAATCAGTAACCACCACCACAGTACCGGGGTTCCCGACCCAGAATCACAAATCTTAGGCTGGGATCCCTCACATCAGCAGGCATGAAGCATTCAGGAGGGGAGGGAGGCGCGGTTAAGGAAGAGACACACAATCTCTTTTAACTACTCGGAATTAAAGAGCAGACTTAGAAGTCCTGCGTGCGCACAGCGAGGGTGGCCAGTAGTACTTACTCCCGAGTAAACACGGTTGCGATTCGGCTGCAAGCCCCAGTTACACCCCTGACAGTAACTCTTGCACCGCCCCCCGCCTGCCCCCCCCCCAGTGCTGTGGGCTCCCTCCAGCGGCGAGCCACCCTGATCCCCATCACCCTCGCCCCCTCCAGTATCGCAATGCCCTCTCTGATGCCCGGCACCTCATTCCCGCTGTTAGTGCGCTTCCTTCAAGGGAGGGGGCGGTCAGGTTAGAATACCTCTCCCGACGTGGCCCACCTCCCCACTGCCCTTAGCAACCCACCCACCTACCCCCGGAGGCCACGTTACCTGCCCAGCCCGGACCCCCACCCGCCGCCCCCTAGCAGAGCGCACAGCGGCTCACCATGGCGCAGACAGGCGGGCTCACCGACGGGACGGGCTCGCCTGATCTATTGCTGAGGCGGCTGCTTCTGTCGCTGCCGCCGCCTCCGAACTCCGCGCTGCGCCCCCGCCCCCTGCCTTGGCCGGCTCTAGCCCAGCCTGGAGCCACCCCCTGGCAGAAATCCCGGCCCCCGACGCCACGGCTGCCTGCAGCTGCAGTCCCCGCCGGAGCCCGGCCAAGGGCACGTGGAGGCGCGACTGCGGCAGCGCCGAGTGAGCGGGGAGGGGAAGGGGAGGGGAGGCAGGCAGGCGAGGGGAGGGGAGGGGGGACGGAGGGGGACCAGGCTCGGCCGACGCCTCCGCTCTCCGCCTACGAGTGCCCTTGAGAGCCGAGCCACAAGTTCCCCCAGCCGGATGATCTCGACTTGCAGCTCCAGGCAGCTCAGTCCCTCCAGCCCGCTTTGCAGCGGCGGGGCTCGGCCGACGATGTCGGAACGTCTGCGAATCGAGAGGCGAGGCTGCTTTTGAGCGTGTGCAGAGCGCGCTTGTGTTTAACGCAGGGGAGGAGGAGGCTCGTTAGACCACGAGGCTGCCCGGTAAAAGGGTTCGCACTCCCCGGGCAGATTTGGCTTTTAAGCCAAGGCTTTTCTTGCTTACACACAGACACACAGACACACACACACACACACACAGACACACACACACACACACAGACACACACACACACACACACACAGGATCCTCTGGAAAAAAATGATTTAAGCAAATGATGCTGAGACAGTTTGAGAAATGCGAGCTGGCAGGGTAGTGCTTGGACCACAGCGGAGATAGAGGGATCCTTAGTTTATGTGCTGTTGTCCCCCACGTAGCTACTGTTTTTAGAAGGCTGGGCGGGATCATGATTTGTGGAAAATTGGGAGAAGTCACATGGACCTTATGGATTTCATTAAGAGCCTTCTCTCTCTCTCTCTCTCTCTCTCTCTCTCTCTCTCTCTCTCTCTCTCCAATTCAGGAACTGCTTGTTTGGCTTAACTTAAACCAGATGCTTGGCCATAAACAAGGGCGGGGAACCTGTGGCCCTCCAGATGTTGCTGGAGTCCAGTTCCCATCAGCCCAAGCCAGCATGGCCAGTGACCTGGGTTATAGTCCAAGAGATTCGCTGCCCTTGCCTTGGGACAATAGAAATGTCAGAGTCTAAGCAGGTTGCTATAGAAGAGAATGGCTATTGACCGCATGCAGAGTGCCACAGCCAGCACGCACACTTTGGGGCTTCCAGGGGTGCAATTCCCAGGCAGAGTTTAGCCCCAGCACCTCTCCGGTTCAGAAATGAGACGTTGTCTTTGGGCTATGAGCCGCAAACCACAAAAACAGAATCCTTTTGATGGAGACCTACAGGCATAAGGATGGGTCCTTATGTACCCAACAACATAACATTAATTACCATATTTTTTGCACCATAACACTCACTTTTTTCCTCCTAAAAAGTAAGGGGAAATGTCTGTGCGTGTTATGGAGGGAATGTCTGTGCGTGTTATGGAGGGAATGCCTATGGGTGGCATGCCTACGGATTTTCCTCCTCTAAAAACTACGTGCGTGTTATGGTCGGGTGCGTGTTATAGAGCGAAAAATACGGTAATCCAAAAAAACTACTATCTACTAGTTCCACATTCAAAATTCTCTCTCACACCAATAACATCTAAAGAACTGTGCTGCATCTAAACAACAGTCCACTAAAACTTACTAACAAGCCAGATGCCGCTACAAAGCTCTTGAGTATGGCAGGAGGGCAGTCTCTCAGCATGTGGCACTCTGAGGAATCCCGCAATGTGAATACACCTATTAGAATGGATTGGAAATTGTGTGTGTGTGTTTGTGTGCAAAGGAGGGAGTGGGGTTCTTCTCCTGCACCAATTTTATACTTTTGAGCCATGCCACTTATGAGTATACCGTATGGTTTCCTTGCCAGTACGTAACCGCAACCAACCCTCATACTTTTGGGATGTGAGATTCCAAGAATGTGAGTTCCAAGCGGGTTTTTGTATCCCCCCCTCCACCCCCCAGTTTATAGGAGCTGGGCCACACACAAACGCACACATAACAGACTGACATTGTATCAGCAGTATTTCATATGCCAGCTAGGGGGAGGGGCTACTTTCTTCTAGGTTTCCCTTTCAGAACAAGTTTAAATTCCAGGAAAAACTTTAAACACACACACTTTCCAGGCTTTTCGACTGAGCAGAGCTAATAAGCCTGAAAGCAAAGGAGGACAAGGCAGGATGGAGATGCCTATACCCAGAAAAGCTGGCAATCGAGAAGGAGTGGGAGTCAAGTGATTTGCAGCCAAAAGAACAAATAAATTTAATCCGTATTTATTTATTTATTTTTAAAAACTGTTTAGTTAGGAAAGGCATCTGATTAGCTCAAATCAAAATGCTGCCCCCCAACCACATGCTTTTGCAGGCCTCTCTGCCTTTGCCACCTATCCTTCCCTCAAGTTTATTTTATGGGGTACGGAAGCCGTTTCCCACAAACGTTCTAGAATAATAACTTTCTGAAATCCACACTGTTGATTCTAAAATATGGTCTCTGTTGTGGCTGTCTGTAAAACTGGTGGTGGTTGTTGTTGTTGTTATAATTATTATTATCAGTGCTTTGTTCTGGGGGGACGCTGGAGGGACACATACCCCTAAACATTTTGTGAATCTTTGTACTTTTGTGCATTTACTGTATTTATTTTTTCCCTATTTGAACTATAAAATGGTAATTTTCTTGAGTCAAACTATAAAATGGTGATTTTCTTGAGTGGTACCTCAGGTTAAGTACTTAATTTGTTCTGGTGGTCCGTTCTTAACCTGAACCTGTTCTTAACCTGAAGCACCACTTTAGCTAATGGGGCCTCCTGCTGCCACCGTGCTGCCAGAGCACAATTTCTGTTCTCATCCTGAAGCAAAGTTCTTAACTTGAAGCACTATTTCTGGATTAGCAGAGTCTGTAACCTGAAGCGTATGTAACCTGAGGTACCACTGTACCCCTAAACATTTTTTAGGGGGGGGAACACTGATTATTATTATTTTAAAATTGTTTGCTTGCCTTAATAATATTTCTTTTGAAAAAGAAACATGATTAGATCCCCGTTTTCTTCTGTGCAACTTAAGGCAGCCTCCGTCAGTTTCCCCCTGCTAATTCCAATGCAGCCCAGCTTCAGCCAGATGACTGCAGTAGATGCCTTCACATGATACATCATGTGCCACTCTGTGCCTTGAAGCATAACATGTGTTCACATCCAGCACCCTGAAGCATGTGAAGTTATAAAAAATGTTATGAATAGCTCTGAGCACATACATTTCCCCTACCAAAAAGTGCCTCTAATTTAGGGTTTAGGATTAAGGAAGGGCTTTCTTGGTAACAGACAGACAAGCTTAGGCTGCTGCATCTTTCAGTTCAGAAATTAAGGCCTTTTCCCAAGTGGTTCTCCTGCCTAGTGTGTTCCCAAGGGAATATTCCTTTCAGGCCCTCCATCTTCTCCTGGTAAACCTTGTCAAAGTATTCAGACTGTGCCACCGTGAAGTGAGTTTTCCAATCTCCGCAGATGCCTAGAAAATGAGGACACGGGCAACAATTAAATTCAAACTACCTTTGATTAAACATCTCTGGAGCTGAGCTTCCCAGCACTTTGCAAGTCAGCTCCTCTGCCAGCCAGAGAAAATAAGCATTGTAAAAGCCAGTGCTACTAGATCAAAGGGTGCCTGTAATTGCCAATGAAATTGTGCAGGACACTTCCAGCAAGGGAAAAGTGACCGGTGCAAAGGCAGAGTCAGGAGGTCAGAGGTCAAAGTAGAAGCCTTCAGATCTCTCTCTCTCTCTCTCCCATGGTGCTGGTGTGCCAGAAGACTTATTTAGACTCTCTGTTATGGCCAGCCAGCCAAGATCTTCTCAAGTTGCTTAACTTCCCCCTTCTATTTTGTCACTGCCTGCCTCTTAGGCAATGGCGAAGATACTACATTGCTCTCTCCCACCCCATTAACAACCTAATGCTCTACTGTTGCACCAATGCATGCTAATTATCGCCTGGTTTTTAATTTAGGGCTATGGGCCTCAGCACTGATTAATATAAATGGTTTTTGGGTGGCGCGTCTCTGGTCTTGCTGACATGGAGAGGATTCTGCTGTGTCACCAGATTCTACTGTGTCACCACACACACATCCCACTCCTGTCCTCACTCCATCTTCGCCCCAGCCATATTTGATTGTGCAAGGTCACTGGTGGTGCCACCCAAATTCTCTCACCTTTGTTGGCACTGTGGCTGGATTGTTCCTTTATCCATGATCTGTCTGCCATGCCCCTTCTTCCCCATCTCCTATGAAACTACGGAAAAAGCTACTGGAGCAAGCCTCACCCTTCCTCAGGAAGGTCCCTTTCTCTTGGTCCATAAATTCCTTGGGAAGCATTGTTGAGTTGCACATGTCATTCCTCCTCATGGCTTCGAAGGAAGTGTTCTCCACCACTGATGTAATTGCTGCCTCATCAAGCTCTTTCCCTAGGAAATGGCAGAGGCGTTCCACAATACCAAACAGGTCCTGAACAGATACAGAGGGGACTAGTGTTCTAGGCAGCAGAAAAAGTACCGTAAGACCTATGTTCTTTGATACCTAATTTCAGTCTTAAGGTTTTGTATCCTGAAATGTGTGTTTTAATGAAATCTGAGATGCTCATGGTGCACTTATCCTGCATCATGTCAGAAAACTGCAGAATATACAAAGCCCTATTTATCCTGAGCACAGCCAGAGAATCAGTTTCCCAGTTAACCCCAAACCCCTCTGTTATCATGCCCTGGGTTCTAATTTTTGCACAAAACTTGAGACATAATCACAGCCAAGACGAAAGACTAGAGACAGCTTCTAGAGGTTTCTCCATATATTAATAATGGCGTCTGCCTGTTTATGATACTGCAATATCCAATGCAACAACCTCGGGGGAAATGAGTAGGAGGTAGCGCTTTAAATAAAGAACAACACGATCCTGTACATGTCTACTCTGGGGACTTGCTCCAAGGAAAGTGTGTCCATGACTGCAGCTTAAGTGATGTTTAGAATGCAGTTTAAGAACTGATAACAATGGAAAAGGAATACAGGTTGTGACTCATGGGATGAATGAAATAAAAATGGGAGGCGACATAGGGCAACTGGAAGAGCACATGCTTTGCTCAGAAAAGGTCCCTGGCATCACTAGGTTGGGCTGGGAAAGGCTCTTGTTTGAAACCTGTGGGGCAGTGCAGTAGACTGAGCTAGATGGAGCGATGATCTGGCTTGGTGTGTGGGAGGTTCCTGTGTAAATTGTCTTTCCCCTCCATCACCTAGCAGACATTTTTGAATTCTGGGTTGCATCCAGTGCCTAGGGCTGCCATACGTCTGGAATTTGCCAGACATAGTCAGGATTTGGATCTCGGAAACAGTGTCTAGGCGCAAATTGCTGAAATGTCCAAGAAAATCCAGATGCATTGTAACCCATGTCGGAAGTGTAGATTTTGGCAAATTTCCTTAAAAATAGCTCAGAAACTACTTTTGTGTCTGAAGGGAAACCCTACCAGCACGGCCATTCTGCTTGGTCTATAAACTTCCACTTGGACAGTGGAATCTCCCCCTCCTCTCTCTTGCAGCCCCCTGCTCCCCATTGCAACCTCAAAATCTGCTCCATTAAGTTGGGGGACCCTCTGGAACAGATTGGGGGTGAGGTACAAGGAGAAGAACAGGAAGTCCTGCTGTGCGAGTAGAACTGCATGTGTGTAGTGTTGAATTCAACCCTGTTTTTCACATTGCTAAAACATTGTCTCATTTGTCTTACCAATGAAGAACGCATGGAATAGGTTTGCATTCATTTTTCTACCAATGGGGAGGATGCTTTACAGAAACCTTGGAAAGGGTGGGATCTGCCCCATGCTCTCACCTGCTTCAGTTCCTCGTAGCTGATGAAAAGGAGGTTGCTTTTGCCTTTCAGCTTCATCCAACCTGTGACGTGGTCAAACCACGATCCAAAAGGTACTGCACCAAGGAATACACGGAGATAGAGACATCAGCGATGGATGGTGGAATTACTTTTTACAGAACCCCCCCTTTTTTTTACAAGGAAGGGATGTACCTCATTGGTAGAGCATCTGCTTTGCAGGCAGAAGGTGCCAGGTTCAATCTCTGGCATCTTCAGGTAGGACTGGGAATTTCCCTTGTCTGAATCCCTGGAGACCCACTGCCAGTCATTGTAGACCAGTACTGGGCTAGGTAGACCAATGGTCTGGCTCAGAATAAGGAAGCTTCCTATGTTCTCTCCATGAGTAAAGATAATGCACAGAAGGGGGAATGGGACCAAGCCTGCTGGCCTGGCCCCAGTGTCACTGCACCTTGCTGGTCCTGACCCTGAGTGCCACACATGCATCCAAGGGTCTGAAAAGGCATGTCTCTGCACATACAGATAGAGTTATGCAGGTAAGCAACCACACAACAGGATTTGATTTGATTCCTTGGGAGAAGGCATGACTGTTAATGCAAAAGTGCTTTAAATATATGGTGTGGGTGTCCAACAATATCTGGAGGGCCATAGGCATAAGGAGTTTCCCTTGTGGCTACCACAGCTCAAAACCTATAGATAAACCATGCCCTATAAATTAGTCTCAGCTGTTATTTTTAAAGCCACCTGAGCGAGTGGACCCTCATTGCATCTTGTGGCAATGAACTGCTGGGTGCGTGAACTGGATTTCCACCAAGGACACCCAAATGTCCCTTTTTCCTCCTCCTCTGGCCACCCACCCTCAATCCAACTCACCATCCCCACTCAGGAAACTCTCCAGGAAGTGGTTGAAGGATTCGGGGTTCTCAAAGGGGACACACATCTTGGAGAAATGATAGTAAGAAACAAGTACATCCCTGGGGTCCCGCAATGTGTACACCACCTAAGGGAGAAAACTTAATTTAAAACTTAATGTTAATTGGTGGAGGTGGGGCATTATCAGTGGGTGAACACTGTCTTAGGGTGACTACAAGGAAACCATCTGGGCTTTATGTTGTAAAATTTGGAACTTTACATGATCCAAGGCTGAACCTCTGCAGTGAAAAATGGCTTTTGCCATTCAGCGTGGTAACAGTGAGGTGCTAAGGGCAGGTACAGACGAGACCTGGAATATGGTTCATTGGTGAATATGGCAACACCAACACTGATCACTTTAACTAACTATACTATGTAGTTATAATTTTGGTTTTCGAGTCCTTGCAATGAAAATAGCTTAAGGTACTTGAAGCAAAAAAGAAGTCGGGCCTGGAGTTATAACCACAACTTTAATGACAAAACTTTCCCCCACCCCTGTAAATAAGCTGCACACCCAACATGGAGTTTTTCATGCTGAATGGGCTGGACCCACAATACTACAAATGTTATTTTCCACTTTCAAAGATGTCCTTCCCTTCACGCACAAGCAATCACCATGGCAGTGCCCCTAGGCTCTTTGACAGGACCCCAGCCAACTCCATATTCAGCTCCTCACCATTTACTCACCTTAGCTTTGGAGCTGAAGAAGGCTTTGGGGAAGATATGAATGGGGAGGTGACAGGTGAGCAGCCGTGGGGGTGGGAGGAGATGCGCTGCCTCCAGGCCTAGCTGGGTGGTGAACCAGGGGGCACGACAGGAATTAAGCACAGATTGATTCCAGCTTGGATTACCTCCATTGAGGATCAAGCTGAGGATCTCAATCATCCACACTGTTCCTTGATGAAGGAAAAAAAAAAGAAATCCGCAGGTTTAACGAGGATTGTTATTTTGTCGGTACCCACAAATTCATTTTACTTTAAGCCAAGCACACCATCATTTTCTAACAGTGGCTGGCCCAAAACCATCACAATTCCTACATCTAAATCTGGTTCAAAATTTGGGAGTGGTGAAGAGGAAAACCAGGCTTTGATTTCAAAATATGCAGTGCAAACCTTCCTGTACATGCCAACTCATAAGTGCATCCCTTTGAGTTCAATGGGGTTTACTCACAGGAAAGTGGATAGAGGATTACATCCTTAATAACATTTCCCAAACATTCAAATTCAAGCAACATTTGAATCTCAATCAGTTCTGAACCAAGCAAGTTTGATTTTGGATTTTGAGCAATCCCATGTTTATTTTTTGAAATTCGGTGTTTAAGGCTGCTATTACAGAATTTAAAACCTTAAGTCTTTCTAAAGAATGTTAAGGCCATCGTCTTAATTATCCAGTTTCCAGATTCAGTTATGTTGTCCTTTAATTCCCCCGCCTAAAAACTAAACAACTACAAATGTTTCCAGGGGTGGGAAGCAAGTTACAGAAGCACATAAAAACAGCTACATTTTTGCAAGTGCACGAGAAAAGATGGCATTGTAATAATTTGTTTAGGACAAAGCTGGCCTGAATTCATAGTAGGTCCAAACATAATGGGCAGGGCTCTGCATTCTGTGATTCTATACAAATGTAGAATGTCTTTCTGTTTTGAAATCCCATTCCCCACCCGATTCCTGAGCAGGAATCCCACTCCTACCAGACTTGGGGTAAGTCACATTGAAGATGTCGTCATCTTGCACTTCAAACTCATTCTCAGCAAAGCAAAGGTTCTCCACAGAGTTATATCCTGGGGGGAACTTTATCCCCTTATAATGGACATACTGGACAGCCATCTCCTATGGAGCAAAAAAAGAGAGTTCAACATGGGGACAAAGCACCAGTGAAACTGTGGTTTCTTGATGTAGAAAGGTGGGTCTACTGTAGAGTGTGTTCAGGTGTCAGGATCCAAGCACACAATGGTTTTGAATGGAGGTTTGCCATCACTGTGCCCTGACCAATGGAGGGAACTGCAGGGAGGTCAGCCATAAAAGTCTCCTTGCTCCACTAAGCTGTGGCCAATCATGTAAGCCCTTGAGCCAAGCTAGGTGCACCTCAGTGAGGAGAGCTTTCCATAGATGTGGAGCTGCCATTGAACAAGTTCTTCATAGGCCCCAGCACTACATACTTCTTTCCTGTGTGGGGCAACCAGCAAACCTCATCCATAGATCCATATTCGAAGAAGACATTCTCTTATATCTTTGGGCCCCACACTGTCCAGGACTGTAACTGTAAGCACCTTGAATTAGGCCTAGAAAACAACTGGTAACCAGGGAAGCTGCTTTAAAATGGGATTTATACCCAGCCTGCCACTCCCATAAGCATCCTGACCATGGCACTAGTTGCAATTCCTGAACTAACTTGAAGGACAGATCATAGTACTCAAACTTGGAGGTTACAAGGGCATGGCTAACCACAATGATGGTTCAGTGAAGTGATCGTCGTGATTTGGGGAGCAACTCAAATTATGCACCTCCTTCTTTTTCTATATTTTTGCAGGTGTTGGTGTTTTCTGTTAGCAACAACAGTATTGTCTCACACTGTTCCTTCTCTCTCCAAAAGTAAAAAAAAAAAGAAGAAATAATAAAGGTCTGGTTGTTGTTGTTTTAATAAGAGGTGACAATCAGGAAGCAGGCCTAGAATATTCCTGAATGAGCCAGATGGCTCTATGCCCCTCATATCTGGGAATGTGAACTAGGGCCTATATGGAACCAGGAACCAGACTGCTGAACGGGACCCAATAGTAGGTATTTCCTTGTGTGGGCCCTGCTTTAATGCTGTTTCTATGCACTGTGAAGTACTGATACACAAGCCCTCTTTGCCCCACGGCATGTAGAAACTGTAAGGGCCACTGGCAAACCAGCCAATGCCCGGCAGGAGGTGGAGCATAGCAACCTTCTTGAGATAGTAAGCTTGATGTCACATTTGCAGGAACACACATACACACAATTTCATCTAAATCTGCTTACTCACCTGTGTAATATGGCTTCCTTGGATGTGCGGGGAGCAGGAGAAGTTCCAGGAGACCGCAGCAAAAATGCAGGGATGGGTGGGATAACGTGGTAACGTCTACTGCCAAAGAGTAGCGGGCAGCTAAATCTCCCACCTGCTTGCCCCAAGCTCAGCCTGCCTGCTTCTTCTTCAGAAGGTCTTTATTAATCTTCTCATGTGCCTCAGCAGCAGCAGCAGCGACCCAAAGGCAAATCATTAACAGAATGTCCCACACAGTCTATAAAGCCCTCACTGACCCTGGCTTTAAACAAAAAAGAAATGTGCATGGGTGGAAATAATGTGAATCAGATGTTGTGAGTCTCATTCATAAGCAGGCCTTGTTGCTGTGAGCGTTGCTTTGTCCCACTCGCTGCGGCTGGAATGCCTGTTGTTGTTAACTCCATCACCTGACACCCCCTCCTCAGCCTTTCCTTGTCCACTTGAATTCAAAAGATGAAGATTTCTGCATCTTCCTAAAGTATTTCCCCCCTTGCTTTTGCTACAAACCAAGTTGCTAATTCAATGGATAAGCTTAGCCCATCTCCATCGATGGAGCGAAAAATTGGAAAGAAACACAAAGCATGCTTATTTGCATGAAAGTGCTGGTGGCCGAGGCCCATTGGGACCATTGGAGCAGAAGGCAGGCAGACCCACAGGTGGTGGAGGGGGCTAAGGAGCAGGAAGCTGATAGGCAACGCTACCCCTCGGACTGGTTGCAAGATGACAGGCAAGCTGGTGGTTGGCTGAGGGCGCACTGAGCTTGGTGAAGCAGTGCCCCATTTGTTGTAATTGACCACTCACCACTGGCTTAGAATCTGCTTAAATATGACCCCCCCCCAAAGCCCTTAATCTTTATGGCTGTGCATGTTTTATCCACAAGAAAAGCTGGCATAAGGGGCGGAGGGGGGAGAGACTACAGTTGGCAGTTTGGAAGATGCAAGCTCAACCTGGCATCCTTGGGCAGCAGCCAGGCCTCAACATCCTTGCAGGTCCCACCTGCCCTGAGCCCTGCTTGAGTTTTAAAAAAAGATTCAGCCTGGTGCTCTGAGAAGCTAATTCCAGCCGACATTTTAATTCACCACAATGTCTCTGATGTAGCATCACTCTCTCTGGGTCCAGAAACAGTGGCTAGATGCAACTGCTTGGGTACTGCATGTACATACATGAGTGGCTCAGTTGGTAGCGCATGGGACTCTTCAACTCAGGGCCACGGGTTCAAGAGTTTCAAGTTTCTAGCTGGAACTGGAACCGTATCTTTGGGAGCTCGCCAGCACCCTCTTTTCAGACCCCTCTGTGCTTCAGGTATGCCTCTTTGCTTCCATTTACTTCTACATATATCAATAAGTTGAATATTGCAGACATCTTAAATCCCCAAGGAATGCTTCATTCAAAAAAAGGGGGGACCCAGTGGCAGTACCCCAGCACTCCTCAGCCCTCAGGAAAGTGCAGAGTGCAGAATAATACATTACATCTCTGAAGGTTAGAACCTTATATTTTATTTTCTCAGTGTATTTATGACATACATATTCTTATTCTTCCTCAGCCAAGCTGAAATATCCACTTTGGTAATGAACTGCCAGACTGAATAATGACTGTGATTATGCAAGAGGCAGCCTTGATAGTAGGTTCTCATCCGACAGAATATGTATTTTAAGAAAGTAGATATTTTCAGCTTGGCTGTGAAATGCTTTGCCCTTGGGAGTTAGTTACTGCGTGAATTACAGAGTGGGGGGGGGGAGGGAGAGGGAGAGACGTTGTTACATGTTCTAAAGGGGTTTCCCTTGATGATGTAATTTTTTCTTTTTCCCATCAACTCTTAACAGGCTACATGTTTGTGTGTAAAGTGGGATCTTGATGAGGAAGAAAATGGTTTGAAATGTCAGTGAGCCAACTTCCCAAGGGAAAGATGTTGTGTTTTATAAACTGGATGGTTGACACGCTTTGCAATACAATCCTAGACCAATACATGTAAGTCCCATGGAATTCAATGGGCCTTATTTTACGTTGGTGGGTATAGGAACATGGCCTTACAGTTCAAGTACTTGAAAGTAAAACTTGTTATGCACAATAGGACTTCCTGCCGAGCGAGTGACTACAGAATTGCAGTCTTAAGGCCCTTAATAGACACCATTATATTTGAAAAGTATCATGTTTGGAATAAATAGACAGTATTTTTATATTGTTTCTGTGACTCTTTATCATATCTCTCCCCCGCCCGCCCTGTCCAATTTTGTCATGTTTTGGCACATTGTTGTGATACTATTTTATTATTGTTGATGTTACTTCACCATAGAATTGTAGAGTTGGAAGGGACCGCAAGGATCGAGTCCAACCTGCTGCACTACAGGAAACTTTCTGCTCAATGGGGGACTCAAACCCTTGACCTTGAGACTGAGTCGCATGCTTTACCAACTGAGTTACGGTAATTTGTAATATATATACCTAAGCATTTTTGTGATGGCGTATATAAAGTATGCTTTACATATCTGAATTGCCAGGTTTTATAGGACTGTGTCCAGAATAGGTGGTACCAGCTAGCTTCCATGAGATGGCCTTCGTTTACAACACTTTTACATGTCACATAAATGGGGGCTAGCCTAGGGGTGCCGTTTCTGATTTTTATGCCTCATGACAATAGCCATTTTTCAGCATAGGCCAGTACGTGTGTGTATGTGTGAATAAGATACTTTTGACGTTCAGGCTGTGTTGTTGCTTATGTAGTCAAAAGGGCACTATACACTCAGAAAAGTTAACAAGGGTTGACCTACGTCCGGAATTTCCCAGACATACCCAGAATACTGCAGTCAAAAGCAGTGTCTGGGCATAAAATCCGGATATATGGCAATCCACATCGGCAGTGTCGTCTTTGCCAATTTCCCTTAAAAATAGCCGGGGGGGGGGCTTTTTGTGTGTTTGTGTGAACAAAAACCTCAACAACTTTGGGCAAAACTGAAAAAAGCTCAACATTGCCAAAAAAGCAACTTTTGTGTCCCAATTTTCACTTTCTGAAATATGACAACCCCAAGTTAATGGCAGAAGGTTTGCAGAAGTACAGAAAAGTTTCAAAACCTTTCTCCCCATCAACAAAAAAAGAGGGGTGTGCAATGAAGACTTTGTACACTGTGGCCAAAAAAAGTTCCCCGTTGTGAGGGGGGGTTGTGGAAAATGAGGGAAAAATAGAGTATCCTGAACAGAAACACTCAACCCTGCAACTTTTTTCTTACTCACAAAAATCATAAAAGTATATAATTGGGGAAAGATCCACAATAGTTTCCCAGATTATGGATAGCCTCCACCTTTTCTGAGGTAACTTTCAACCATAACACCTGATTGCACCAAGGCAGGACCCTTTCCTTCCCTGCTTCTCTGCACAGGTGTCCTCTGTTACCTCTGGACTCCCACCCCGTTTTTTAGTTGGAGCTAAAATCTGAATTTGGCAAAGGGAGCCCAGTCTCTTACTCCTCCATGCCCTCTAGTGGAAGAGCCCTGAATGTGCAGGATCTGTGGTGATCTGTAGAGCTTAAAGAATAGCTTGGAAAGTCAAAGTCAGAGATCATTTTGTTTCCACAAGAATGACTGGCCTATTTTGATTGTATGGTTTAAATGTGGTTTTAACAGGTAATTTCAAATGTATCCAAGAGGAAGGTATTTAAGCCTTGGTCAATTCTCTCTCTCCACAACTGATGAGGTGTCTCCAGGGCACATTAAGAGTGTCATAAAACTGAGACCAAACTTGTTGATCTCTCTCATTCTGGGCTCTGAGGTCTGAATTGCTTTCATAACATCACCTTTAAAAAAGGCATCTCAGCAACTTATTAAATTAACATTGTTATGGGCAGATAGAGTATTCTTGTTAGGCTGTTCAAGAGGTTTGGATTTTATGGATTTTTAGGTTTTGAATTCAAATCACTGTAAAAGACGGACCAGTGAGGTTCTAGTCAAGATTCAAGGTGGCAGTCAGCAACAACCACCAAATGAAAACTTTGTGGCAGGTCACATTAAGCTTATTGGTGTCCAGGTCTGTTAATCAGGCCACAATATCAGAATCCAGGCCTGGTGGTGATGGGTTTCTAAAACACCAAAAAGGTTACCCTTAAAAATCACCCCGAAGCCACAGGGAGTTTTACACACACACACACACACACACACACACACACACGTAGAGGCCAATGGTCAAGGCAGGGATTCAAACCCTGCCTCTGTTATGAACCCACTTGTCTCTGGCAATCCACCACACTTTCAGCCTCAGCCCCTGTGTCTGCAGTATGGAGATAATACTGGCATGTAAGGATAACAGAGGCAATGGTTCAATTCAGAGTTCGACATAAAAAGATGTGTGCTGTTCCTTCTCTTCATCATCCCCTTGTGGGTGTTGAGATTAGCTTCTGCTTCTAGTCTGCTGATTCAGTTAGATTCTAAACGCACCAAGCTACTGATTTGTGCAAACCATATTGCCCTCAAATCCGGAACCCAAACTATGTTCTGTTGCAAAATAAAATCTCCTAATCTCTTTTCCCTTGTGTGCAAAAGAAGGGGAAGGGAAAGCACACCCTCACATGATGGATTGTCATTGTGTCTGAATGCAAACTACTAAGAGATGCTAATTTAAATTCTAAGTATATGTTAAACTAAGGTAAAGATAAAGGACCCCTGGATGGTTAAGTACAGTCAAAGGCGACTATGGGGTTGCAGCACTCATCTGGCTTTCAGGCCGACGGAGCCGGCATTTGTCCACAGACAGCTTTCCAGCTTTCAGGGAAGTTTTTAATGTATGATATTTTAGTGTTTTTTTGGTTTCTATGGAAGCCGCCCAGAGTGGCTGGGGAAACCCAGCCAGATGGGCGGGGTACAAATAATAAATTATTATTATTATTATTATTATTATTATTATTATTATTATTATTATTCCAGGTCATGTGGCCAGCATGACTAAACAGCTTCTGGCATAACGCAACACTGTGACGTAAGCCAGAGTGCACAGAAATGTCGTTTGCCTTCCCGCCACAGTGGTACCTATTTATCTATTTGCACTGCCATGCTTTCTAACTGCTAGTTGGCAGGAGCTGGGACAAAGCAAGGGAACTCACCCCGTTGTGGGGATTCGAACCGCTGACCTTCTGATCGGCAAGCCCAAGAGGCTCAGTGGTTTTAGACCACACACATAATTAACACCATCTGAATCTCATGTGTGAGAGTATAGTGAACAGACAACCTCCAGTTCATGGATGTGAGATCCACTGATCTTCTCAATTTGGTTACCCCATAGAGCACAGAAATTTTTTCATCCCACAAATAATCTACATGCATGTGGAAATCACAAGACATAAAGAAAATAAAAAGAGGATTGCTTTTTAATTGAAATTATTATTATTATTTGTATTCCGACTCTATAACTGTAGCTCTTAGGGCAGTTCACAATTTAAACATATAGATGGCATTTTCCCTAGCTTATTTCTGTAATACTGCAAACGCCACCTCTTGCTCAAAGGCAGCGGTAGAGGGAAGGAGGCCCATTCTGTCTAAGCTACAATAGAGAAGACAGGTTAAGACCTCCTCCCTCCCATTCTGTATACAGACAGACCTGGCAAGTCAATCTTACATCAACAATGATGACAGGTCAGCATCCTGCACTGCACCTGAGGGTAGCAGGCTAGCTTAGGTGGCACATGGCAAGCCTCATGGTACCTCCAGCATCTGCTACCTGAGACAGCTGCTTTGCTCTACCTAATGGTAAGGCTGGCCCTGCATAATACAACACACACACAAACACACTCTCACAACACTGTGAGAGACTTGGCATTGACCCACATTTTTATAAAAAGAATCCACAAATTACTTTTTTGGAAGTTTTGCAAGTGCCTGCAAATATGCAAGGCACTATAAGTCAGCAATACTGCCCATCAGGGTATAAGACGACAATACTCAGAACCATGGCTGTGCTTTTAAAAAATAGTCAATGGAGCACATTATGCAAATTAAGCCAATGTGCATACATTTGCTTACGGTATATTACACAATTGCCTTCTGTTTTTGCTAGCTAAGGAAAAGGACAAAGGGTTACCCAGAGCACTGCAGCTCCTGTAGATTTCCTGTTCAGCCCTATGGCTCTGATTTGCAAAACTGCACCATGCATGGTTTTCAACATTATTTCTATAATCTTATGGACTAGAAACATGCCTGCAGGATGAAAAACCAAGCTACAGCACAGATTCTCAGAGGGTGCAATTTTGTGTGAAATACACGGAGCCCTGCTCCTCATACTCCAGCTACTATTTATTTTCGTGCTGCTGCAGGGGCGGGGAATCATAGTGCATTTGTGTACAACAACGCACGCCCAGGCAAGCTTGAGCATGGCTTGGGGAATGTGCAAAAGGGCATGCAAGTGATGCTCTCCGTCCACCGCAGCATGCACGCGTGGCACTGATGCAGGTTGGAGCGCACAGGTGAACAGAAACTGCTGTGTTTCTGTTAGTCGGGGAACGTAAAGTTACATCGAATGACAAATTATTCTTTGCGTCCGCCCTTGCTATCCATCCCGGTGGATTCGCTGGTGCTGAAGGAGGTTGGACGGGTGCGCAAAGCCCTTCTGGCACATGGAGCACTTGTACGGGGTCTCGCCGGTGTGCACCTTCTCGTGCACGGCCAAGTAGGCCAAGTCTTTGAAGAGTTTGCTGCAGTGCCGGCACCGGTGAGGCCGCTCAGTGCTGTGGACGCGCTGGTGCTGCAGGAGGAGTGAGGGCCGTGCAAAGGCCTTGCCGCACACCCCGCAGGCGTAGGGGCGCTCGCCAGTGTGAGACCGCGCGTGGATGGCCAGGTACGAGGACTGCTTGAAGGCCTTGCCGCACGTGGCGCAGGCAAAGGGCCGCTCCCCCGTGTGCACCCGCTCGTGCGAGGCCAGCGCGTTGGACGCTGAAGGCCTTGCCGCAGAGGACGCAGGAAAACGGGCGGTCCCCGGTGTGCACCCTCTCGTGGACGCGCAGGCTGTGTCCGTAGGCGAAGCGCTTGCCGCAGACGCCGCAGACGTGGGGCTTGTCGTCACAGTGCTGCCGCTGGTGCAGGAGGAGGGCCCCCGCCGCGGCAAAGCCTTTCCCGCAGGCGGTGCAGGCGAAGGGCCGCTCCGCGCAGTGTGTCAGCATGTGCCTCTGCAGCTCGTAGGGAGTCTTGAAGCGCTTGGTGCAGGCGGTGCAGCGGTGAGGGCGCTCCCCCGAGTGGATGCGCCGGTGCTCGGCGAGGTTGGAGGCGCGCTTGAAACGCTTCCCGCAGAGCTCGCAGCGATGGGGCCGCTCTTCCGTGTGCACGAGGGCATGGCTCTTGTAGTCCGAATGGCGCTTGAATGAGGCCTGGAGCGGGAGAGGGAAAGCGAGGCAGAAAGCAACAGGCTGACACACACGCAGCAACCCCCAGGGATCACCTGCTGGACACAGAGGAATAATTTCCGGTGCCTGCTCCTCTGCACAAATTGCCTCTTGTCATTTATCATATTGATTAAGCCACACAGAAAGAAGATGGTCATCTATTTGATTTGGAATGTATAATTGGCTTTATTATTTGTGTTATGATTTGGTATGTTATTAATTGGAAAGTTATTAATGGAAAATTAACAAAAAATTATTTACAAAAAGAAGAAGAGAGAAGATGGTCATCTCTTTGGATTTTTGTATGGCTTAACCATGAAACCATTTTACAGGGATGCGGGTGGCGCTGTGGGTAAAACCTCAGTGCCTAGGACTTGCCAATCGTATGGTTGGCAGTTCGAATCCCCGCGGCGGGGTGAGCTCCCGTCGTTCGGTCCCAGCTCCTGCCCACCTAGCAGTTCGAAAGCACAATTAAGTGCAAGTAGATAAATAGGCACCGCTTTATAGCGGGAAGGTAACAGCGTTTCCGTGCGCTGCGCTGGTGTTGGCTCGCCAGAGCAGCTTCGTCACGCTGGCCACGTGACCCGGAAGTGTCTTCAGACAGCGCTGGCTCCCGGCCTCTTAAGCGAGATGAGCACGCAACCCCAGAGTCGGACACGACTGGCCCATATGGGCAGGGGTACCTCTACCTTTACCTTTTTAACCATGAAACATCCTTATGTAAGGCGCTCTGATTGCTTTTGAATGACTGGTGGCTACCAGCGGTTTGCCAAAATGAAAAGAATGCCTTTGGCTTTCCTGAGCTGCTGCCATTCCATCAGAATACCTGAACTGCTTCCATCCCAGCTGGTTGTTATATATGAGAACTGCAACTTTACAATGGTGTTGCTGGACTACAACTCCCATCAGCCCCAACCACCATGGCCAGTGGTCAGAGATGGTGGGAGTTGCAGTCCAGCAACATATGGAGGCCCTTAGTTATTGCAATATAAAGAGCACAAAACACAAACACACACATATACATCCCTTACTATTTCCTCCCAAGGAAAATGCTGCAGGGAAAGACTCTTTGCCCTAGATGGTGTTTACAGGTCCGGGGAAGCAGAAAGCATGAATCCATACATTTGGTTCCTTCTAACAATGGGCAGCAGCTCTGCCTCAAAATACAAGTTGGATTTTTACCTTGCTCCAAAGGCTAATCCTGGAAACCCAATGGTTTACTTCTCTGTGTGTTTTTCCTTTCATTCCCATTTCTAGCTTCCTGCCTGCTTTCACCCGCCTCACCTGGCACAGCTGGCAGCAGAAAGGGCGTTCCTCATTGTGCACCACTTCATGGCTGAACAGCTCCCATGCCCGCTTGAAAGCCTTGGCGCAGATGGCACACTGGAATGGCTTCTCGTCCACGATCACCTCCCGGATCTCAAAATCCTCCCCTCTGCAGTGCTCCAAACGCTGTGGCAGGCACGACAAGAGCGCCACCTTTGTAGTGGGCACCAGCTTGGCTGAGGAATACACCCCATCTTCATTTATCAGCTGCACCACGTCATCTGAGCAGGGAGCTTGGGCGTCTAGATTCTCCCGCACCTCCTGCCCATTCTCCGCAGTTCCCTTCTTCTTGCAGGTACCCTGAGACTGTAGATGCCTCCCATGGGAAGGCCCAGCTTCCTCCATGCTGCCTATAGGCCTGCCCACCTCCTGGGCCACAAACCCTTGTTTTCTACACTGCTGGGGCTTGTGGCTGGAGAGGGAGGAGTGTTGCAGTTCTGCCACCCTCACCTCAGTCTTGGAGGTGGCGGCGGTGGTATCCTTGCACAGAAAGTGCTTTTTCCTAGAGTGGCCTACAGAGCTTCCGGCGAAATCCAGCTCCTTCTCACCATTGTTCCAGTCCTCCAGGGATACCGGCAGCTCAGATCCCACAGAGCCGTTCTCAGGTATGCGACATGGTGAGAAATCCGCTTCATGGGCAGGAGAAGAGGGAACGTCCACCATGGTGGGTGCTGCTAACTTCACGAGCCCACTCCTCTACAAGAAATGACAAAAAACAAGTAATTTGCCTAGTTTTTATTCCTATTCAAAGCACTTCACACACTGTCTGGTAGGTCAGCGTTGTTATCACTGAAGATAAGACTACGGCTGAGGGATGTTGGCTTGCCCAAAACCACCTGGTAAAAAGTTGAACACACAACTCAAAATCATAGTCATTTATGCATGCCACAACTGCAGCCCGTGTTTTGTTAGCCCAAAAATGGAAAACAAGTGAGGTCCCAATCAAAGGAGAGTGGCTGCTTAAGTTGACAGAATGTGTGCAGCTTGCAGACTTAACATATGGAATAAGAGAACAAGAAGAACATGTTTAGAGAAGATTGGAAAACATTTATTGAATATATGTGAAATAACTGTGTACAGCTGAAAATGCTGGCAGCATTAAGATAAATTCAACAGTGTAAACACAACTGCATGCACTAGAAAAACACAAGCATGCAAGGCCAAGCAGAGCAAAATATACCATTGTACAATAATTCTGTGTCAACAATATATTCTCTGCACAGAAACCTTTTCTGTGTAAATTTTGTGTCGTGTTCTAAGCCATCCTGATATCTACAATGCGTCCCTGTGAGATGTTATATACTCCATAACTTGGAACGATATACTGTTTTGTTGGGTGTGAAATACAGCTTGATTTCCCAAGACACATTACAATGCCAACAAAGTACATATGCGGTGCATACGAAAATATTCCAAGTGTTTGTGTGTGTGTTTCTGCAAGGGAAAAATCAAGTTTCCAACCACAACTACTAGCGATTGCGTTATGGGTAAGGGTGCCTTCTGTTTCTACGAATATTCTTGTGCATTTCCAAATTCTCCAAGTATCATGAAACCTGGCTGCCGCAGAGCAGTAAAGGCCTAACGGGAGGCACTACTAGGTATTTAAAGGACTTGGGGCACAGTCCAATGACACAAACTTGCACAAAATGTTAATATGTTACCGGTAACTTATATGTATAAATGCGTCTGGAAAATTAAGGTGGTACATGGCTGGAGTCTCAGCAGCACTGAGATGTGCAGGGTGCCCAGTTGACCTACAGGCATTTATTTTTTTTAAAGGAAAGTTTTATACAAGAGAGAAGAGGAACATGGGATCTGTGGCCCACCACAACAGGCCCAGGGCTTGGGTCTCCTCAGACACTTTCTAACAATGCCCCTGGGATTAAGGAGTGTCGCTACTTTCATCCAAAGTGGCGGAAGCCTCAGGAGTCAAGTGATCTGCCACATTTTCATATACTTACCTAAATGAAGGTCTTCATATTAAGACTATCGGCGAGTGAAATGGGAGTGTGGATCCTGTCCCTATCATCCTTTCAAAATGGCAGTTGGCAGCAGTATGGGCCATCTCTTCAATAACTAATCCAACAAAGAACAATGCTGGGAGTTAACTGGTCTCCTTGACCCTACACAAAAAAACCAGGAGAAAACAATCAAAAATATGACTCTGGAGGCCACACAAACCCATGCAATGTGGTGTTGTCCACTGATGACATTGCCCACCACCCAACCACAGGAAATGCACCACAATATATGGAATGTAACCCATGCTCCAATCATCTTACAAAAAGTATATATATCCATCAATCTACTATGGGCAAATGCCCTAAGCGGCTTCACCTTTGAGAATGACTGGCAGACAAAACAGCCCTACCTTGAAGGCACAGAAATTCAAAATACCCCTGGGACTACTGGATTTCAGCAAGACCTGCTGAAATTAACCCAGCAGGTGACACCTCAAATAACGTTTGGGAGGTTTACTAGGTTCAAGGTGGAGAGCACAGTACCGCAAGACAGAACCTACAGCATATGGTGATTGATTTTGCTACTTCTGTTTGTTGGTATGTTGGTTTATTAAAAAATGTTACCCCCTCCCATCCCAATTCTATCCTGCCTTTTTTCTTTTATTTAGTAAGGAAGTGAGGATGGCAGATCAAATGGCATTACATCCCGCTGAGTTGAGGGAAGCGATTGGAATTCTCGTATTCTGTTTCACAAACTGTGTGTAGCACGTCTGAATCCACTGCTAAGAAGGAAAATGGGGGCGGAAGGCAGAGGGGGAAGACGGACCACCTCGGCGTTGCTAAAATAAAATAAAATCAGGTTCCCCACTTCCTCCATGGGGCAAGCCAAGGATCCCACGTCCCTCCTTCCACCTCTGGGGGGAGGGCTTTCCCTTCTGACCCTCCCCTTCGAGGATGGCTCAGGGGTTGCCACGGGAGCACTGGCAGCCTTTGGGGATCTGGGTTCACGGAGCAGCGCCCGAGAGGGGCTGCACCGCCTCCCTCTGTGGGCGCCCTAGGGTGGGGTGGCGCGAACCCCTTCCTCGCCTGCCTGCCTGCCTGCGGGAGTAGGGAGAGAGGGGGGCGGCGAGCCTTGCCGCGACTCACCCTGCGGAGCCGCCCGCCTCCTCTGTCTCGCTCCTCCTTCCTCCGCCCCTTTCGCGCCGGCGCCGCTTCGCAGCTCCCCCAACCCGACCCCTTCCTGGCGGACACGCGGTCGCACCAAGAGTTGGGCCGCCCTCCTCTTCCTCTCTGCAGACCCGGCAGCACTTCCAGGCGGCGGCAGCTGCAGCAGCAACGCTGGTGCATGTATTAGCAGCCCCCCCCAACATACACACCCCGCTTGCTTTCCATCGCAAGTGCGCATGCACCGTCTCGCTGCCCCCTCCCGCTCCGCATTGGATTCCGGAATGGATCAAGCACCGAGTAACTTCTCTTCCCTCTTCCTCCCGCGCCACTGGTCGCCCCTTTCTTTGCTACCTAGGAGCCAACGTCGAGGGGCCCTTAGCCCCGCCCCAGTAAAATATTTGAGCACCCCCCCCCGTTAGTGGGCATTGTGATGCAAATTATGTGTTGCGTCTTGTGATCAATTAAGCGGGGGGGGGGGCTGACCTACTCCCTCTCCCCCCTTCCATCATAGAATTGTACAGTTGGAAGGGACCCCCCAGAGTCATCTAGTCCAGCCCCCAGCAATGCAGGAATCTCAGCTAAAGCATCCATGGCAGATGGCCATCCAGCCTCTGCTTGGATACCTCCAAGGAAGGAGAGGCCAGCACTTCCTAAGGGAGTCTGTCCAACAGCTCTTATTGTCAGAAAGCTCTTCCTGATGTTTATTCGGAATTTCATTTACATGAAACCAGCGTGGCTCATGGTCAAGGGCTGATGAGCATTGCAGTCCGACAGAGCCGGATTTACGTATAAGCTAAACAAGCTATAGCTTAGGGCCCCACTCTCGCCCCCCCCAAATGTAAAGGGGAAAAAAAACCTGGATGTACATTTCCAAAATATAAGAGAAAAAACAAATAAAATAAAACCTACATACAGCAACAGTGGCAAATGGCTTTAGATACCTATTAGGTCCATAAATTACCATATAGCATATAGTCAACACAAAAAACCCCATGACAATTTGTTGTTGACAAAGGACATTTGGACATATAAAGGTCCCCATTACCTTTAGTAGCTTAGGTCCTCATCAAACCTAAATCTGGCCCTGTAGTCTGACAACATCTATAGGGCCACAGATAGCACCTTCCTTAGATGGAAGAAGCTGGAGCTGTTCAGATGCCAAGTACACTAACCGGAGGTAGTAAACACAGTCCCTGAGTTGTTTTCATTGCCTCAGCAATGTCAACAAGGCTGTAAATGTTCCCGGGAGAAGAATGTTTCGAACCTTGGAAGAGAAGCTAGTCTCTCAGTAATAGATCTGGTTAAAACTGAGAATGTCACTCTGGTTGTTGTTTTTTAATTGATAATAACAGAGCTTTTAGCCGTCCACACTATAAGAAAATGCCGTATAGCATTGATTTGCATTACCATGCTGGTCATGGGCCAAATTCAGGAACATAGGAAAGCTTTTTTTTATACCAGCTAAGACCGTGTGTTTGTGGGGCTGCCCTTGAAGATAGCCTGGAGGCTGAAACTAGTGTAGGGTGGGATCCAGTGAGATCAGGTGTCACCGGTCCTGAAAGCACTGCACTAGCTGCCAGTGAGCTACTGGGCCCAATTCAAGGTAATAGTAGTAGCAGATGGAGCCTTAAATGGCTTAGGACCCAAGTGCCAACCAAATCAAGCTTCATGGTGATGCCACTGCTGCTGGTGATTGCATGGTTGGCATTGACCTGTTGTTCCCTATTTTTGGTATGTCCTCCTCTGGTGAGGTGCATCTATCTCCCTCATTATTTACATTATTGACTTTCAGGAGGAAATCGAAAATTTCCTGGCATGAAACACTGTTCCTGGCAACCCTGAGATCAGTGGTTCAGAGAATGTTTTAAGCTTTTTAGAATGTAACTGTTTTCAGAATGTTTTTTTTTTTTTAAAAAAGATGCTTTATTGTTGATGTGCTTGTCACCCTGGGCTTCTTCCAGAGGAAAGGCAGGATATATAGCTACAGCCATTGCGGGATTGGGATAGCAAAGGTGTTCTATCCAATGTCCCACCCACCCACCCACAAGCAACCTAGCTGCTGCTTTCTGTACCAGCTGTAGCCTCCAGAACAACTTCTTCTGGATAGCTCAGTAGGTTAGAACATGGTGCTAATAGTGACAAGGTTGCAGGTTTGATCCCCATATGGGACAGCTGCGTATTCCTGCATTGCAGGGGGTTTAAATAGATGAGCCGCAGAGTTCCTCCCAACTTTACAATTCTATGATTCCAAAGTAGCCCCCCCACCCACCTAGAGTGCATTGCAGCAATCCAACCATGTGGTTACCATTTCACAGATAGCTCAATCCAAGAACAGCTGTAGCTACCGGTATATATCCTACCCTTCCACCCCTGAAAAAGAGAGCCAAAGATGATTTCAATAAAATGTGCATACACTAATTCATATGAATAGATGCACTTTAACGTTCATAAAAATGCAATACCTTACACCAGGGAGGACGGGGTGGGGGGCAGAACTGTGGGTTCATGCTTTTGTACTGGAGCAAAGGTAGATGTAGGTGGATGACTAGGTCACCCTAGAAGTGCCTCATTTTCAGTCTGCTGTCTAGATGCCAACTGTTGATGACCAACTTGAAGGCTTTCTGATAGCTTTTTCTCTCTAAACCAAGTTGAGGCTGCATACCGAGCATATGTTTAAAGTCTCATAGGAACTATAGTTTATCACCCCAGAGCTACAATCCCCAGCAGCCGTAACAAACCACAGTTCCCAGGATTCTTTTTTTGTGGGGGGAAAGTACCTTGAATGTATGGTGTGTACACAACATTGAACTGGTCAGGACTCCAAACTGAGGACTGTCCTCTGTAAAGTAGGACAGGTGAACACCCTCTTTAGTGCACATAACAACATTAAAAGACGGTATCCCCAGCATCCATTTATTTTCTTTTTCAGTAAATGACTTGGGTGTTTTTTGGATTTAGAGGTGTTAATGCAATGTGGAATGAATGAATACCTGAGTTAAATAAATAAAATCTCCGTCAGAAAGGGATAGTAATTGACTATCAGAAGACAGGGACTGCCTCAGGTAAATGGGAAGAGTGGCTGCCTTGCATTTACACAACCCAAGTATGTTTTCCTACAAAGTCTCAGCGGAAAAGCTGACAGTAACTCCCCACAGGATTTTATGTTTCACCCTGCCCTGAGCTTCAAGGAAGGACTGGCTGGAACACTTCAGTTCCCCTGAGTTTTTAAAGGAATCTCCATGACAACTCACCAAAGAGAGGTGGGGAGCCAGCCATGGTCACCATGGAGACTTGGAGGTTGCGATGAGGATGGAGCCAACATTTAGTTACACAATACTCCATGGGGAACTTTGTTCAGCATGCCAAAAACAAAACAAAAAAAAACCCCGAGTACTTTTAGTGGGCCTCACAAAAGGTGGAAAAGGCTTTCAAGGTCAGCAGAGTTTGCTTCAAGCCAAGGCTTAGGATCAACCTTGGAATAGTTTTAGGATTAGAAAATGGTTGCTTATGTGCATATACAGAGTGCATTTCCCTCCTAATTGCAGCTAGCATCTCCACACCTTGGAAATATTGCAAGGGCTACTTGTCTCCTTTCTCTCTCCCTCTCTGTGTATGTGCATAGATTGCAGACAGGCTTCATTCTAGGAATCTTTTCTGCCACAAATTCAACAGTCCAACCATTCCCTGCCAGAAGGCAAGACCATCCACTTCTCCCTTTGGCACATTACAGCTCGAGCTACCCATTTATAACAATGTGTATCTATGTATAAGCATCAGCTGCCTGTTTTGTCTTTTTTTCTTCCTGTGAAGCGTGGTCTGCTATCCGAAGCACCTCAGGTTTTGCATAGCTACAAATGTCTTGCAAAGTTTGGAGAGGAGGAAATCTGTCAGCTTCTGTACATGGAATGGGTGTGGGGCCAGGGGCGTAGGAAGGGGGGTGCAGTCCCCCCAGGTGTCATCCCTGAGGGGGTGACAAAATGGTACACTGCAGGGGGTGGCACTTACTGCGGGGCCTGGCCTGCAGCACACCCGAGCCACGCGTCTCTCCTGGGAGTGACGCGGTGGCTCAGGGCCCTGCACTGCCCAAAATAGGAGTGTGGGGCTTGCGTCTGCCAGGCGGACTCCATGGGCAGCTTGCCATGGCGTCCCCCTGGGTGGACGGCCACAGCCCACCCCTGCCACTCCAGGTGCCAGAGCAGCTAGCTATGCCCCAGTGCAGGCAGCAGGTCTACCCTCATTTCAGGCAGCAGGTCCTGGGCCAACCCTGGGGGCCAGTCATTCCAACCCAACTTTGTGGCAATCAGCAAAAGTCCCTTTTCTGTGACACCTTTGGCACAACCCCTTAGTCCTCATTCTGTACTGAAACTAAGCTTCCGATGCTGCACTGACTGGATAGGTTTTCCCACTTGACCTTTGCTTCCATCTCCCCACCCCCTTCTGTTGCCTCCCTCACAGTAAACTGTGGACCATAATTAGGGGAGTAAGAGAAATTAAATTATGTTTGTGTTTAAAGGCAAATCTACCTGATTTAAACTTTCCAAAACTAATGAGAACTGAAACACAGGCAACCTTCAAAATATGCACATCTCCAAATGTTGCATTGTGCTTCCTGAGAGATTGCGTACAAAAACGCATACACTGGGGTCAAGTGTGCATAAATATGCATGTATTAGTGAAAATGTCATACCAAATGCATTGTATTATTGGAAAATGTTGTCTATCAAAATTGCATTCAGATCTGCTTATTAGAGGGAGTTCTTACTAAAATGCAATTAATTTTTCACGAGGAGCTTTTTTTAAAAAATGCAAATTTATGTGGAAATGAATTTCAGTCTGGAAAACTGAGGGAAAACCAAAAGTGCTAGATTTGCCCAACCCTAACTGTAAGTGCTTTGGGGCAGGGACCTGCTTTTTGTTTGGTTTTGTTACTCTAAAGCTATATAAATAACAACAA